AAATTATAAGTTTATTAAGAAAATTATTTTTATTATAACTTAGTTTAATATATAATAAAAAAAAGGTTATTATTTAAAGGTTTTTTTCTTATTAGTAAAAAGTTAAGCTAAGTATATATTTTCCTATAGTAAATTTAAAATAAAAAAGTAACTTTATTATATAAATAAAGTATTATAATAAGTTAGAAAGTAAATTATAGTATAAGATATATTCAAAAATTAGCAGGATAGTAATAGAATTACATTATATATTACTTAGCTGTTACGAGGAGGTGCTGAAATTTATATAGTTAAGAATTATTTCTATTAGAAACTTGTATAAAATATTATATAAACAAGTGGAAGAGAAATGTAGATTTGTTGCCAGTCAGATTCCACAGAAACTAATCCGCATAAGGAACGAGCCCAAGCTCGATGTGTTCCAAATCGTTGGCCGTAGGAGGATTGCTACTGGATATCATGACAAGAGCAGGAGTGTTGATAATCCTACCATGGATCACATCAAACTGGTCCCACGTACCAGGAACCCCATAGCAATAGTCAGTATCTGACATTTCGTCGTAGTAACATTCACCAGCTGGTGCAGAGCACTTGAGCTTCCGGTCGCGAGTCTGTTCGCATGTGATGGGTTCTCTTCCAAGTCCGGGGCTATCGGGATTGCAGAGCACATTCATGTTTGGAAAACCATGGCCACCGAAAGAAACACATAAGTATTTCCCGGTATTTATTTCCCGTACGTGGTTGGTGCTGGCGTCGATAGAGAAAGTCAGAATTGGGGGAGAGGGCTTGAACCAGCCGATGCTGTTATATAAAACTGGATCGCCTCCCAGCAATAGGCCGTCGATATCTGAGCCTATGGCCTTGATGTTGAATGTAGGAATCGGCACAAATGTGTCTTCAGTGGTGGTAGCCTCGTACGTCGTGGTTGCTTCAGCAGATGTCGTGACCTCGGCACTTGTAGTAGGGATTTCAGTTGTAGCCGTCTCTGTAGTAGTGGAAGCTGAGAGCTCGACACTAGCGCTCTGTGACTCGGTCGCCTCGGTAGAAGTTTTGTCGTCGTCGGTAGATGTGACACTGACAGATAAGTCGACGGAAGCTGTAGTCGTTGTCACGACGTCGGTACTTGTAGTAGAGACAGCGACAGATTCAGCCGTGGATGCAGATGTAGTCTCGGTAGATACACCGCCTGAACATAAATCAGCAAATGACTTGATGCTGCATAAGAAGATTTCACCTACTCGATGTCCGACTTCGAGGCTTGCATACACTTGCGATTGCGATATTGGCGCCAAGGCCTGCAGACAGAAAAGCAGCGAAACGCATTTTCGCGGTGGAAAAGAGCGACAAGAGTTAGACTGAGTAAAGTAATAACAAAGTGAAAGAAAATATAAAGGAATCAGGGATATTTAAAATTCTCAAATGTTCAAAAAGGAGCTTATTTTCTTTTTGAGGCTTGGCACTATTGACAAACAGCAGCCTCAGCTGTGCCAATAGTGTAGGTACTAGCTCCATTTTCCAGATTTATTGTTCAATCCAGGCTACTGGGTCAGTCTATTGCGATCTAGCACATCGCACTGGCCAATTATATCACTTGAAGTCCTACTTAGCGATTCGAAAGTGCGCTAAGGACAGATCCATAAGGCTAAGCATAATCCCTAACGCCCTGATCGATTCGATACGTACGGATATTTCACATACGGATTAAGGTAACGGCAATACCTTTTTAGGTTATTCTATTAGGTTAAAGTATTTAAATTAACAGAGGTTATTTATATAAGCTGTTTTAATATATCTTTATTACGCTAAGCCTAACCTAGAAAGGGATTCTAGCTATAAGATAGATATAGTAAGAAATCCGTATTAAAATTAGCTAATTTATTTATTTATATAGATTAGCTAGCTATATAGTAATATAAACGGATATAGGTATATATAGATTATATAATATTATTTTTCAGACCTATATCTATTTGTAAAATATCCGTACGTATTGAATCGATCAGGGCGTAAATAACCCCAAGTTAAGTTTTCAGATAAGATAACCTCTTTCGGAAGCTTTAACTTGAAAAGCGAGGTTCTGTTTGTTGCTTCGGTCTTTTTAAGGTTCAAGGCACTGTAGCCCTATATCATTACATCAAGACACTGTATCTGATTAGCTAATGACGTGCTCTTATACTTAACTTGTAAGTGCTATTATAATAATAACTTAATAAGTATAAGTAGATAAATCTAAATTCGTTTTCTTTTTTTAATATAAAAAGTTAGCTACTGCCTATCTGGCCCCAGGTACCAAAACTCCCCAGTCAAGCTGATGATCTTTTATCATCCTCATCTATCTGATGAAGCGAGACACCGATATCTGCGACTAGTCCTTCAACAAGCTCTTGGAGCCTTAATGGGACCAAGTCCTCAAGTTCTGTTGAAATGCTATTGCTACCAGATGAGGTGACTTTCTCGAGTTCTTTTCCCACAGCCTTGACGATTTCGGGAGTGATCTTTCTAGATATATCTCGAATAATCTGGAAGAAACCGGGTTAATGACTTGCAGCAGTCGATGAAGTATAAGTGGTTTTACTTACGCGAGTTTTGATCTGCGGTTTGCAGCGCTTCTTCAACACAGCGAAGCGCTTGACCAACACATTCTTGTTCCTAGTCCACCCAAATTCCTTCCTCATCTCATCTTGGATCGCGGAATATCCAAGACCTTGGGCTTTAAGACTCATGAGAAGTTTGTCCTGCTCTTTGGTCCAGCCCGTATTGCTTGAAGGCGTACTCGCAATTGATTGTGTGGTAGGATCTCCTCCACCATAGCTTGGAGAGGCCTCGTTGGCATCAATCACTGTGAACGATGGGGCTCGTTTGGTGATGAGCTGCTCCATGATACTCGGGTGTACAGAAGACATGGATTTCGCGAAGTCTTGGCTGTGGTCTACGGCCTGTCCCGTTGCACCAGGGTGCTCAGTGTGAATGAATCCATTGAGGCTCAAGCCGTTGAAACCCCGAGCGTAGACTCCGGCCATGGTGTTTGGGTCATCTCCAGACAAGGCGGCAGCGGGGCCTAAGGACTGGAACCAGCCCGCAGACTCTGCCAGGGCGTTCGATGGCAAAGCAGGCGTAGGGAGAGAGGAAATTGAATTCCACTCGGCGCTAAAACCAGGTTCAAATGGAGCCTGGTCGATAGAGGGGTAGTCGTCGCGCTGCATGGTGCTTAGTCTTGAAGATTCAGATCAATCAATGCAGCAGCAAAAAGCGAAACTTGAGCAAAGAGTTGCCGAATCTGCTGTTCATTAAAGAAGCTTGTCGATTAACAGTAGGACACAGGTTCAAATATATTATTACTTTCCTGTAGCTGTTTCAGCCCATTCGCCGGGCTTACGTTTGGGCCTGGGGGTTGAAAATGGGCTTGCAAGTTGGCTTGGCACACTTGGCTGTAAGCCTGGCTCTGTTCCTGGCTGCACATTTGATTGGTCTGTTATTCGGGTGCGCTGGCTGTGCACATGGCATTGTGCTTATTTCAGACTCGACTGTACGCCTGGCTTCGAGCCCAGCTTTATGCCTAGCTCCCCGCCGGGTCTTACACACAATACAACAGCGACATCCCATTTGAGGACCAGCACCACGAGCATAATGCGAACTAACTTTCTGTGTGATAAGGTTGTCGGATGTTAAAAAAGGCGACAGCAGCAAGTGGGTACAGCTATCAAAAGCCCATAAAAGAAATGGGCTATTCCATCCTTTACACTCAAGATTTCGACATAGACTCAAACATACGGTTCATTATACCGCCATGTCTTCCGCTTCTGCCCGCGCAAGTCGATACCAATCTACCATGAGCTCCAAGACAACCGCCAACTACACACAGCCAGAGGATACCGTAGGTTTCAGCACCCATCATTCAGAACTTATGCTAACCTGAATGGTTCTACAGGCTATACAGGCTGCTTTTAGAAACGCTACTCCATATATCATGCAACTATTCCTGACTGAGATTGACAAACTCGATGTGTCCGGAGATGGGCAAACTGATGAAGCCTATGTCGAAAGCCTGGCTGAACTGAAACATGCCGTCGAGCTGATACGCAAGCCCAAAGGCAACAAACAGCTCGCGAGGTTATAAAGCAAACAAACTGGCAAGACCCGAAGGACAAATGTTGAGAAGAGTCATTGTTTAGACGAATTATCTTTGTTGGGAGGCTCAGAAATTGAAAGACTTTAGGTGCATTGTGCGGGCTTGATGATGGACTATGTAGACTGAAGCCAGGTCACATTAAATTCTTTCTTAACTTGTCCTTTGCCCATCCATGTTTTGCCATCGTAAAAGGTGGTTGCAGTAATGTCGAAAGCCCTGCAATTAGCCCTTTTGTCTGTCTGGGTCCCAGTCCGCTGCCAGTGACTGAACCTGAGGTTCGACGGAGAGCGAGCAACGTGTCGTCCGAGGATACAGGTAGATTCTGCATTCTGCATTCTGATATTTAGGGCGTAGAAATTTCTAGCTGCGTAAACTAAAATACTCTCTGCAAACCACTAAGTCTTTGTATACTCTCCCATTGTCTTCAACACCTCGTTCATTGTCTGGAGGTCCAACTTATCTCGTGCATGCTGCGCCATGACTGTCTCCGTTTGACCAGCAATTCTCCCCACCATCCCCTCATTCATTTCGCGGACCATCTCCTGTGTAAGGATCTCGGTGGGCAACTGGTCCAAGATCCCTTGTCCAACAACCCACGTGTTGACGTAGCTTACGAAAGCTATCATGCTCATCTGCTCCTAGTTAGTCGATGATTTCTTCAAGGAGGAAAAGGAGAAAGGATCGCAAGGCAGTCCATTTCACCTTGTAACAGACCTCCTCTTGCAAAATCATGCGTGATGCAGAAATATTGTCATCTGTTGGGACAAGCCCTACGGCCGCTTCGGTGGGTTTATTACGCGAGCGTAAGACTCTTTCAGGGCTGGCTCGAATGATGATGATGATACTTACCAGATTGAAATATTTTCCATAGATTCTATAATCACAGTATCAAACGTTACGCGTCATGCGCCGAGATCCTAGTGGCGGGTTGCACCGAAGCGTTCTGCATGGCACTAACTTTTCAGCTGCTGCAAGCCCATGTCTAGACCATTGAAAGTTGCCAATAGACAGAAGAATACCTGCAGCTATTCAGCCTCACTCACATGTGGGGAGTCGGTAGTTCGGAAGTCACTCTCTGATCGCAAATGAGCAAAGCTTTTCATTCTTCCTGGGTTGAATTGTGGTTAAGCCAGTTCAACTTTCTATAACTTGTTATCGTCTGGTACAAAAGGTAGTAGCAGCAGTAAGGACGACATAATCCAAGATACACAATTCCAATTCCAATTACTTGTAGTACAAGCCACAATGCACAGCCACTCTAGTCTGTATGCCTCACTGCCTACTCTCCAAGTGGAAAAAGAGGCTTACCATTAAAAGGCTGCTGGCTGGCTGCATGCTGACACCATCTCATACACCTATTATCACCTATTCTGACTCCCAATTTTATACCACACACATCGTCGTTTTGTTCAGTCGTCCAGCGTTGAAATTCTGCCAAGCCATGACATCTATGAAACCTATCCTTTCTTCTGCCGGCGGTGTCAAGCCCTGGATACAAAAGTTCACCAACAATCCGCGCGACTCATTTTTCGACCAGTTCGTCGATTCGAACGATGCAAGATTTGTCGAAATAACTGAAGGCCCTGTATGTAAACATGATGATTTTTGGAAGCATGATTTTAACGCGTTGCTTATAGCATGAGAGTGAGATCAAATACAGCGAGGTTCCCCTCGACTCGAACAACCCCAAATCTGCGCCATATGTCTCCAAAGTATTCGAGGTACGAGTAAGAGTCTCTTTCATATCGTTTCCGTGCTAATATCATCCAAGCTCCCACAACAAGATGGCTCAAAGGGCGTTCTTAGATTAATGTAAGTGCTCCATTCTTACGATCCATCTAAAGACTCTCAGTGTCGGCTTGTTCGTGTTTACTAATCCTTCCAGAATCTTACCTTTCAACACTGAAAACGACAATGCACCGCCTCTGTCGTGGAAAGGATTCAGGGAGCACCTAGACCTACTGCACCTAGAAAACACTTTTGTCAGCACTGAACAGATGCAAACGCCCCCCACCTGGTTTGAAGTTCCGTTGCAGGCAGGCCTAAAAGGTATGGTTGAGAATAAACACATGTTGTCTCTTTCGAGCGCGATAGAATGATAACATGATTTCCAGGCTTTGTTGTCAAACCTGAAAGATGGGACTCCAACCTCGCCAACTTCAGTATATCTGTTGTCCACTCCCCAGCCTCAAGAGTTACGCACGTCGTAGCTCACATGTTGCACAAGACTGACATCAAACACCTTCTGCTTCGACTACAGACTCTGAAGGCCCTTGCATGGCACCCACTTCTTGTTCCACTCATCCTGATGGAGCAGAGGATAGCAGGCACTGCAGAGAAACTCACCCTCATGAGGGATTCTATTTACTCAGTAGAGAAGCGAACTGGAACTCACAAGAACTACCGTAATGATAAATACCACGAGGAACTCAACCACTATGCTTATGGCGACAGGGTTTGGGAGCGGCGCCATGAGCAGGACGTTGACTTTGATGCTGCTCCGGGAAAGATAACTTCTATTACTTCAGAGTGCGCCATGACTGAGGCCAAATGCGAGGTCAACGAGAGCTTACTCGATTGGCTACAGGGGCTGAATGACAGTCTTGGCGAACTCAACACTGATGGTGGTTCTTGGGAAAGAGCAACGTCCTCGATCAGCATGAAGATATCAGCCTTCAAAACATGGTCTGGTAATAATCGAGCCCGAAGTATCTATCTCGCCAAGCGAGCAGAGGCGCAAATGCAAGCGGTGAGTAGCCAGAAATCTCAAAACATCTGTACACCATCAGCTAATCAGACATAGTGTCTCAATCTCATGGCACAGCGCGATAGTGCTTTAAACCTGAAAAAGACCGAAGCAGCACTGCGAGATAGCTCCGACATGAGAGCGATAGCATGGGTCACCCTCGCATTTCTGCCAGCGACGTTTGTGGCGGTAAGACTTTGACGAACTTCGAAACGTTGACTCTTCTGACTTATCTGATAAGACTTTCTTTAGTACCTCCTTCTTCAGCTTTGAGCAATCAGGCCGGCGTGTATCGGACTGGATTTGGCTGTATTGTGTTGTAACTGGCATATTCACTGTTGGTGTTCATCTGGGTTGGGCGCTGTGGATAAGAAAGGAGAGAAGAGTTTGAGGGGCTGAAGGAGAGGTATTATCTACAGGCACGTGGATGAATTATGATGGAAATCGGGTATTTTTTTCGCTCGGGAATAAGCGTACTTGGCTAATTCGTTCATGGCGCTGCGATACCATTGACGATCTTGCCATTTCTCAGTGACCTTTGGCCAAGTTCAGCTTCATCCACAACTATGAGCTGGCTAGTCTGGCTCGATCAGTCGATAGTTCTGCAGGCGTCTCGTTCAGTGGCCAATCAGATAGTCTAATCACTACTAGTGCCGCAGATCTTGGGTCTCTTCAGCTTATGACGTTGGCGGCTGGTGCTAGACTTAATGGTTGGCTTCGCTACAGCTTATGTCTCGGTCTAATGCATGTGAAAAGCCCAAAAGATGGGTAATGAGAGACACTCGATTCCAAGAATGATTGAGCTTTGACCTCTGAGGTTTCTGATTACTTTTGCGCTTCGTCATAATGGCTGAACTTTGGAGCTGATTGTCACCAGGGTAGTGAGCCGGGTTATCGGGCTTGACACTGTGGGACTCAAGACACCTTATCTAATTAATATAAGAAGCCTTCTACACCACAAGTGCATTTTTCTACCATGTATTGCCGGAATTTCTCGTATCAGATTAATAGACCCACTCCACCATCATGGGTGAAGCAATTCCTCCGGAAGGCGGAACATACGGTATCAAGGGTCTCCCTCGGCCACCGAATGCCATGAGATACCCTGGATAGATTCCCTACGTGAAAGGCCTTCCGGTCCGTAAAGAGATATCGTCTCTTGCCAATTCAGACGACCCAAAGGATAGGAGACAGTGGACGCTATTTGTGCTAGCCTTGGAACGCTTCAAGTCGATGCCTGTCGATGACAGGCTCTCCTACTTCCAGATTGCCGGAATCGTAAGTACATTACTTATGTCTGGGTGCCTTGCTGATCTTTGGTTAGCACGGATATCCAGAGGTTGCTTGGGATGGAGCGCCGGAACCAAAACATGCCCCAGATAAGAAGACTAAACAGGCTGGTGATCAGCCATTCGGTGGATACTGTAACCACAACAGCCTGAACTTCCCTACATGGCATCGACCTTATATGCTTCTCTTCGAGGTACGATCTATCCAATGCTTTGAATTTCTCTCTGACATAAGCAGCAACGGATATGGGAGAATATGAAGTTAATAGTCAGCCACTGGGTGGATAATTGCGGATTACCGGCCTCAGAAGCAGACAAGTGGTACAAAGCAGCAAGGCATTGGCGAATGCCATACTGGGACTGGGCTAGGCGACAAAGGTACCATGAAGACTTGGTTTGCCCACCAGTACTTACCCAAGGAGCCGTCCGGATCTTTCCACCTACCACGATAAAGACCCGATTTCCGCCAAGCGGTCTCTATCCCAACCCGTTGTTAGGTTTCGAGAATCCAGAAAAGGACCCAGAGACTGGAAGTGCGTTACCATTCGGCAGCATGCCCGGGGGAAAGTCGAAATGGAATATCAAGGACAATCCAATAGTGCATGACGAACTCCCGCTCAACAAGGATTGCGATTGGGCTCCAGTGAGTCAATCAACAGGATCAGCTTGAACGTTGCTGACAAGGCACTTAGTGGAGCAAAACGTCTAGTACCAGCCGATATGGGATATTCAGATCGAAAGATATCTCTGAGGAAGAGACGGATCCCGCCAATTATTTTACCGGCTTACATGGAGTAAGGAACTGTTGGCAAGCAAACGTGAACCTCGCGACGGCTCATGAAAATGGTCCGGATGGCAAGCCTAGGTGGAGTACAATGGAGCAACACTCCAAGGACTATACATGGAACCCTGGGAGTCTTTCAGATGCAGTCAATCGGATGTTCGCCAAGGGCTACAACTCGAACTGGGGACAGTTTGCTTCGACGAAGTGGATTGCTGAAGACCAAGGATGTCCAAAGACGGGATATATATCTCTGGAGTATATCCACAACAATATTCACGTAAGATGACATGAGAACTTGGTAAATTTAGCTGACATGAGCGCAAGAACTTGACAGGAGGAAGTGACTATGCGACTGGCATGGGACACATGAGCGATGTGCCAGTAGCAGCGTTTGATCCCATCTTCTGGCTTCATCACGTGTCCGTATCTGACATACCCTGTCTGCTCAGTCAGCTTGGCTAACACAAAGCAGGCAGATAGATCGCTTGCTAGCGATATGGCAATGCCTCAACCCAAAGCTATGGTTTGATAACGAACAAAGCGCGGGCACGGCTGCTGCTTCAAGTGTCACTGACGATAAAGAGACAGATGCTCTTGAACCGTTTCACAGGAAGGACAACGACCCCGAAAAAGAAACCTGGACTGCGCGAGCGTGTCGAGATTGGACAGAGTTGAACTACCAGTATGATGACCTTGCAGAGGTAGCTGAAAGAACGATGCGAAAGCATGGCCGATTCATACCGGAGGAGTTCCAAACAGAGCTTCGATCACATATCAACACGATCTATCCAGGCACAGGACACGTTGTTGGATCGATGAAAAATTCTCACGCCATTCCTTACGATCTTCGAACATGTCAGGGCCAGACGGGATGTTGGAAGGACCACATCATCAACGTGGTATACGACAGATACGCCCTAGGCGGTCTGTCCTACACAATACAATTCTTTATAGGTGGACCACCGAGCGAAGGCACGACGAGTGTCAAAAAGGACAACTACGTCGGCCATGTATATTCCTTCGGTGGTAGACAGATCACATCCGAAGGCTCTTGCGGGAACTGCAAGATACAAGCCGAAGCACAGGTCCTCTCATGCGCTCAGGTCCCGTTGACGATCCATCTTCTTCACCATAACATTTCCGGTCACTCCATTAAGAGCTCTGATGAGATTGGAGAGTATTTGAGACTCAATCTTCGATGGCGTATCGTAAAATATGGCGGTGAAGTTATCTCTGAAGAAGGATTCAGGCAGAACTTCTCAAAGCTCCAAATATCTGTGTTGCGAGGTATTGGTCGAATCAAGCCGGAGAATGCACAAAGTGCAGGTTCAGTCTGTTCTTTGTACAGCGACTATGTGCCATTGCCAGAGATCACTGATGGGAAACCCGGTGGCTTGCAGCGCGACAAAGCCCCCGAGAACGGCGAGCCATTGATTTCGCAGAACGAGAGCGCTGTGCAACCACTGCCTCTGAAGCTCACAAAGTCAACGTAAGGTCTCTGCGCGTCAAGACTTTTGCATGTTCGTTAACAGATTTAGAAGACTCACCACAGCAAAGCTCCAAAAACGTGGAATAAGAACTTGTGGAAAAGAAGCCGAGGCATTGAAGTTTTCGCCTGTTCAATTAAAAGCTCGGTAGTTGTTGGAAACATGGATTTAAGGTTGCGCAGGATCCTGGTACATGCCGACACTTCCGAGATCCCTAACCAGGATCTGTCGGGAGATTTCGTCGGTAGCTGAACCCCTGGAATAGAAAGACTATTTTGGTCTTGTTCAACATGCTCTGATACAAAAATATCCTAACAAAGCATTCTGCTATTCTGTTCGATGCGAGCTCAAAGTGCCACTGTACCATCGGATGTCGCGTCAGCTTACGGCCCCTCGGGATCCCGAATAACCTTTTTTCTTTGCTTACCAGGGGTCTTTGTGCCGCAGATCCCTCTCCTCTACGAATACGATGGGGCTTGATCTACGCCCGCTAGAACAAGTGCTTACTACCAGCGTATGAGAGCCGACATTGGCGCCCATGTCTGACATGGTAATTGGACGAAATGAATGATCATCCATGCCGTCCGTCTAGGCGTAAGATTTCCGTGTCTCAGATGAGCATCCATCGGGGAAATTAGCGTTTCGCGAGATCCTACTAAAGAGATGAGCTGGCCACTTTCCTCCCTCTCTGTCAGTATTCTCTGCTTATTTCTCAGTATCACCAGATTCAACATGGACAACCAAGAAAAGACCGTCGACTCGTCGTCGCAGAGCGAAAAGGACAAAGAGTCCACGACTTCGCCAAAAGCGCCTCGACCTCCACCAATTCTATGTCTCGGCGCTCCCCGCAATGGTTCAGCATCACTTATGCAAGCGCTGCAAATCCTCGGATATCCCAACGTGCATCACGGATGGGAAGCTGCTGAGCATGAAGAACTCCAATGGCAATGGCCTATTTTCGACAGAGCGTGCGACGCGACATTCACGAACATGCCAACATACCGCGGCAAACCATTCTCTCGCGCTGAATGGGACGAGGTGTTTGGGGAATACGATGCTGTTTCGGATGTGGCTTCTTTCTTTGCTGAGTCGCTCATCCCAGCTTATCCCGACGCTAAGGTCATTCTTACCGAGCGTGACGTCGAGAAGTGGTTTCCGAGCATGATTGCCGTTGTCAAGGGCTCAACGAGTCCCTTACGACGAAAGCTTGGAGCCAAGATTGGTGATCTTTCGGGATTTGTGAGTCCGAGACCGTGCTACAAGTTTCATCAGGGCTGGACGAGAGCGCCATCTCCCAACGACGTTATCGACTATCTGAAACCAGCGTATGCTCGGCATAATAAGTACATTAGAGATACTGTACCCAAGGAACAGCTTTTGGATTTCAAGCTTGCGGATGGTTGGGAGCCGTTGTGTCAGTTTCTGGGAAAGGAAGTTCCTGATGTGCCGTTTCCGCATGCCAATGATTCAAAGGAGTATGCGGCGAGGGGGAAGAGATTGGGAAATAAGATGATCAAGCTTGCTTTGAGGAACCTTATCTTTCCTTGCTTACGTCCTGAGCCTCCTACCAGGCCCTGAGATTTACCCAGCGCTAGGAGAAGGGGAAGGAGTGTACACCAAGAAACCCAGTAATGTTCTTGGCCGCATGGGAGTGGTTTGATTCTGTATATAATCTGATATAAAACGCTGGTTAGATTTCTCAGTTTAGACAAGCGCGCTGTTTCTAATACCTAGCTTGGATAGCGTGTTTTCCATTCAATATCCGTATTTGGCAATATCGATAGCCCACTTGATGTACTCAGGACCCCACCAATATCCGAGGTCTTTACAAGATGCCAGCTTATTGGTTTCATGAAAGCGGCTTGTTCTTCTTGCATCACAACTCTCGGCTCACTAAGTCGTTTAACCAGAGTTTTGCCTTGGTTTACCAGATCGACCAGTGAGTGCTGAGATGAGCACCCGGGAAGACGGCCCGTGACCCCGATAGGTGAATGGTTCCTCCTCGACGTCAAGCTCGAGGGGCGACATATATCAGCGCGGTTTGCGCTCCTTGAAATCTGAAGTAGCTTGTTCGTTTCTTTACCGATTCAATATCAAAATCACTAGGTGTCATCTCGTTTCAGCTACCAAAATGACTTCGACTCGGAATTACAATTGGCATCAAGTCAAACCCGGTGTTTGGCAACGCCATATCGATGAAATCGAACAATTCTACTCGACGATGGTTGTTCTCTACGAGGGAAGCGGTCGCATGTTCTTTGGAATGACAGGGCACGTTTCACTCTCCATCAAGAACACCAGAGGCTTGTCGCAGAGTGATGCTGAGCTTGAAGTTGACAAAGCCTTGAGAAAAGCATGGCTTGCACTTCGTCACGCTCACCCTACACTTGCATCCCAAGTTACTCAGAACGCCGAGTCAGGAGATTGGGTCAAGACTTATAGAGAGCTTCAGAGCGGAGCAGATAAGGACGCTTGGCTGGAGAGGACTCTTGTCCATATCTCCAGTGGACAGACTGGGGATCAATGGGCCAACTCAGACCCTCCTGCTCCAAAACTCCCAACCATGTTTGTCTTGCAACTTCCAGCCGAGTGCGGCGAAGATGGGCCCGTGACGATCCGCCGAGACCTTGTCTTCCGCTCTCCTCACGACATCATTGACGGCATCGGAACTCTCATGATGCTCAACAACTTCATATCCCTCGCCTCAGAAGCTTACGACAAGGGCAATGACTATGAACTCCCAGCCCTCGATGGCAGCGAGACTTCACACCTGAGTCCGTCCTATCGAGTAGCCGCTCAAATCCCTGAAACTCCCGATCAGACTCAGCTGGATAGACTTAGGAAGATGGCAGCTCAAAAAGCCGCTGCCGCTTCTAATCCCAGCGTGGAGATTCTTGCGCTTCCTTATCGACAGGGCGATCTACTTCCGGGCCGTCATCAGCGCTTGGCACTCACTCTAACCAGAGACGAAACGCAACAGCTGTTGGCGGCGTGTAAGATGGTTGGAGCTACGCCGACACACGTCTTCCATGCTGCAGCTGCTATGGTAGTGCGAGACCTACAGAATAAACCAACTCAGACCAAGCGAGTTCGATACATCAACTACATCCTACGCAACGAGCGCTCAAGTTGCAAGGCACCATATAACACAGCTCAACATCCAGCGTCTGTCTATCATTCCGTCTCTGGCCAAAGCCTCGTTGTCGACATGGATCTCCACCCATCTTCCACAAACCCAGACTTACAAACTCGCAAGAAAGAATTCCTTTCCATTCTTGAATCCGTCAAAGACTTCTATCTCACCGTCAAACAAGACGGGGAATTCTACGTCCTCGCCCCAACCATGTTCTCCCAAGCTACACCGCTGCTACCCTCTGGTCCTCGTCCGCTGCCAGTGCCAGAGCCGAATGCTCACCCGTCTGTATCGATCTCGAGTATGGGGCGTACCGATGCTATCGTAGCGCCGGAGACGGGGGCGTTCGAGGCGAGAGATCCGTGGGTGACGGGTGAAGAGCTCGGCAACGGGCTGGGTTTGTTTCTTGGTACGTTTCGGGGAGAGCTGTGCTTGAGTGCTGCGTATAATGAGGCTTGGCATACGGCTGTGGATGTGAAAGGATATCTAGAGCGTTGTAAGGATGTTGTGTTTTCCGGTCTTGGGATCGATAAGCCGTGAGGATGGTTGGGGGGCGTGTTGATGGAAAGGTACTTCTGAGCATGAGTGACGCTGAACGTAATTCTTTCTATTAAGGATTCTCCGAGGTCACGGACAGGCTTCTATTCGTGTCATGTCTTTGGTTGTTCAATATTCCTTTGAGTTCAGTTCAACAGGACAATTACTCGAGTAGGCATTTGATTGTCAGCTCAAACACGTACTTATCGTGCAGCATAATTCGCAGTCGACATCTTATCACATCGCCGTTCTGATAGCGCGTATATCATGGTCATTCGAGGTTCATCGCTGACATCTCCATCTTGCTCTGCTCATGTTATCTGGCAGCTTAACCAAGTCACAGGTGAAGTTTCTCCAGCGATCGTGTAAGGCATCTTCGATCGATTATTTCGACAAGCCGTTTCGTAAGTTTGTCCGATGATTGATCTAGCGAAGCTGACAGGTTACGCTTTGGGGCAGGTCTCTCAAAAAGGACCTTGATAGTCGCCTGTGCCGCAATCCATTATCAACCAACAACACCTCTACCCCCCGTATATCAGCGTTTTCTGGAACTTCTGTGTCAATCTCCTCATCACGCGCTCGCCCCAAACATCTCATTCCAGAATCAGCATAGCAGATATCGGTTTATCAAGGCTCAAAAGTCGAACCGCCACAACCCGCCTGAAGGATCACCCTCTGGTATGTAACCAACAAGACCCCGACCTCTCGCCTCCCGTGCATATGTAATCTATCCCGATTGTGGGGGCGATATTCACGGGGAAGCGAACAGTGTGCGTCCCGAAGGGGAAGCTCCTTAGACTGGAACCTTTGACAGGCTGGGGTAGGTCAGGATGACCCCGGCGAAAACCCGGATTGGGGCAGTTTTCCTAACCGTTGGGTCGGAGCTGAATGATATGCTTGTTTGATAGTGGCCAACTGATATGGGGAAGGGATTTTATCTGGGTGGTTTGGAAGGTTTTGGTGGTTGGGAGGTTGCATTGGCACGTGAAGTAGCTTGCGGTCGGGGAGAAGCAGGGAAATAGAGGTTTTAACCTTGAATTGACGATTGATGCTACTTACTAGGGTAGCCAGCAGTTGATTTGGTGGTGGTGAGTGCCAAGTGGCAATCATGCAGGTATTGTGCAGTCTGCATCTCTGGTATTCAATACCATCTTTTGACACAAAGCGATACTTTCAATTGCAACGCGGGCGACGGAATGATTTGATTGGACTTCCAGCGCTATCTCGAGCGTAATGACAGCTGCAGCGACTTCATTAATGTCTGCAAAACCGCAAGATATGCCCAAATACGACCGAAGTGATAGATATTACTAAGACACCACTAATAAATCGGTATCAACCTGTAATCTTGTCGCGATCTGACATGGAGGACGAAAAGGACAGGGATTCCGATCCGCATCCGTTCAAAACACGAAAATAGAAGCTCGCGTGGCGAGCGATTGATAACATCGCGACTGAGTTGGTGTTGAGGTCATCCATGAACGTCAAAAAAATCCTGGGCATCGGATAGTGCATGTCGCCGCATTCTTGGCTACGGGTATAACGGTCTTGGTATCTGTGGCCAAGACGATCTTCACATCTTCCAGAATTTCCTTTCCAGGCACACTGATCGACAACGGCAAGGCCGATGATTTACTGGTTGATGCGACGGTATCAAACATTGCAATTAATTCAGTGGCAATAGGGTAGGCATTTCTCGAGATAACATCACGATCGTGAATCTTGTTATCGTCTGTTGGTGCTCCGCTGTTGGTTACGCAGTGGGTCGAGCGATGTGTAGAATTGGGTATAGTTATCCTCTCAAGCTAGACAAAAGTCCATTTTCTATGTTGGCTTAGGAACACCAGGTGATTCCTGCAGGCCGAGATAGCACGGGTGCAAGGGTCGATCATCCCAGAAAATGCAAGCAGAGGCGGTCCCTTTGGTCTTGGCACCCTGACCCTCGGCACTCGACAGCGGAATATCAGAATGCTATAGTGAATGCGGGGGAGGCGATGCCACTGTAAATGAGACGATGCGCTGTAAATGAGAGGCCGTTTCACCTACAGAAGGCAGTGGCAAGTAAATACATCACTGTACTACCTCGGGTGTCTTGCTAATATCCATGACGCTGTTGAGTAAGGGCCCTCGGTCCAACATCAGATCTCCAGTTAGGCTTATCTACGTATCTGAACGATATTCCATTCCGCAGTCTTGATGCCCTGTTGCATCTCCAAACAAAAAGGCCCTTCTCCAACTGACAAAGGTACCCGCAAAGTGCGCCAAGAGCAACAAAGGTTCCCCGAGCCATTGGCCAGCACACGGAGCACACTCACCGATTAGGTTTAGCGCGGTGCTGATACCGATGTATTATTCATTCACATTGCGAGAGATATTGATATGGGGAATGGAACAGCTGCGCTATCGGAGGGAAATGTCAGGAGATTTGGGAGTATGAGCAATTGAAGCGGGTATTCAGGCCATGTTCTAGAATTATATGATGAGCCGAGGGCGGAGAGTGAGCGAGGGCAAGTATCTGGTGATTTAGACTAGAGGGTGATTCAGTGATGGTCGGCCTAGTGAGGCAATGAGGCAACGGTATTGCGAGTGGCAGTGACTTGACCATTCACAGTCTAATGCAGTGACTCCCCCGATAACCATAACAACCATAAAATCTTTAATCCCCTGTAGCACACTCATCAATCAACATGTGGCGCGTATCGCTCGCCCGTTTTCTCCCTCGGTGCCACCCGCTCTCCTCTAGTCTATCTGGGGGTGGATCCTCTATCCCCTGCTTGGGCTAGGGACCTCATGCACAAAAGTTCAAGCCCATGATAGAGAACTGCTCCCATTTTGGCAGCTCCAAATACAACCGCCCCCCTCCCATTGGCTCCCTCATAGAGATAAGGGGCCCACTTCAATCTGTGGACTTTATTTGGCAATCGTCAAAAGATCGTTTGTCTCGCTTCCTCTTCTGGGCACTTTGCAAAAAGTTCCCCCAATGTGCGGAATTGATTGATTTGAGAGATGGGCGGCCACTTACTCAATCGGGGCGCTGTTTCAAAAGTGCCACCACTATATGTCTGTACACTGTTGTACGACCGTTGCAGGAGAGAGAGAGAGATAAATAGATCGCTTGTTCCCCCGGTTCTTTGGAGCGTTTCATTCAGTCGTACCAGCTCAAGTTTCTTTGGCTCTTCAAACTGATCGCCCATCATGGTCGCCGAAACAGTCGTCCCCGATCGTGTGCCTGAGGATACCCTCCAGCCTCGCTACGATGAGACCACGCAGCCTCGATATGATGAGAAGGAGCCTCACTTCGACACGGACCTCAAGTCTGAGGCTGACAGCGAAGATGATCGTATCACCGACCTGTTCTCCAGTTTCCCTCCTGCAAAGGGTGTTGAGCATGAGCCTAACCCTTTGACTGCTCGTGCTGTCATTGTCGGTATCATTCTCGGTTCTCTCGTCAACGCCTCCAACGTCTATCTCGGTATGCTCACCCCAATATCTCAATCGCTATCTCACAATACTAACCATCTACAGGCCTCAAGACTGGTTTCACCTTCCCCGCTACCATGTTCGGTGCCATCTTCGGTTATGGCTTCATCCTCATGTTGACAAAGTCCCTCCCTCACGTCCCCCTCCTCGGCGGCAAATTCGGTCCCCAAGAGAACTCCATCATCCAAGCCGCTGCTACTGGCGCTGGTGGTATGTCCGGTGTCTTCGTCGCCGGTCTCCCCGCCATGTACCGTCTCGACCTCCTCTCCGACGACCCCAAGAAGGACTTTGGCCGTATCCTCACCATCACCTTTGTCTGCGCCTTCTTCGGTCTCTTCGCTGCTGTGCCTCTCCGACGTTTCTTCATCATCAATGTCGCCAGAGAGCTTAACCTCGTCTTCCCTACGCCTACTGCTACCGCTATGACTATCCGCTCCATGCACGCTGTTGGATCCGGTGCGGCTGATGCGCTTCGAAAGATCAAGGCGCTGGGTATTGCTTTCATCATTGCTCTGCTCATCATCTGTGTTGGTCAGTATGCCGACGGTATTCTTCACAACTGGCACATCTTCACCTGGTTCTACGTATGGTCTGGATACACCGCCAGCGGTCTTCTTGAGCCTGAGAACTGGGGTTGGTACATCCAACTCACTCCCGCCTTCTTCGGCTCCGGTATCCTCGTCGGTCTCAACGCTGCTGTCTCTTGGTGGGGTGGTACCGTCGTCGCCTGGGGTCTCATCGGTCCTCTTCTCGTCCACTATGGCGAGTGCATTGGTATTGCCGTCGGTGAGGGTAAGTGGGAAGGCATCACTCGATTCAGCGTCATGACCGGTGTCGACGACCCCGACTACGTCCCCTCTCCCCGATACTGGATGCTCTGGCCCGGTGTCATGGTCCTCATGGTCTACTCTCTCATTGAGTTCTTCCTCCACGGAAAGGTCGTCTGGGATGGTATCAAGTTCGCCGTCCACGAGTCCGCTCGCTCCATCAACAACAGACTCCAGGCTCGCGGTCACAGCAACGCTTGGTTCGCTAAGCAGGCTGCCAAGGCTGATGCCGATGGTGGCGTTGAGGACTTTGCTTCCGCTCAGGAGCAGGTCCCTACTTGGGTCTGGGTCGCCGGTACCCTCGCTGCTCTTGTCCTCGCCATGATCGTCAGTGAGGTTCAGTTCCACATGAACGCTGGCCTTGCTCTCCTCGCTTGTATCCTCGGTGTCATCTTCGCCTTCATGTCCATCTATGGTGGCGCCGTCACTGACTGTGCTCCTCTTACTGCTTCCGCCAAGGCTTCTCAGCTTGTCTATGGTGGTATCACCAAGAACCACTTCGCCGTCAAGGACGCCCAGCGAATCAACCTTGTCGCCGGTAACATTGCTTCCGGTACTGCTGACGTTGCCAACTCTCTTGTCAGCGACTTCCGAGTTGGTTTCCTTCTCAAGACTCCTCCCAAGCTGCAGTTCTACGCTCAGGCCATGGGCACTGTCGTCTCCGTCTTCCTTGCGCCCGGTATCTTTGTCCTCTTCATGTCTGCCTACCCCTGCGTCTACCGACCCAGCGATGATCCCGCTGATATCTGCCCCTTCAATGCTCCCTCCGTCGCTGCTTGGCAAGCTGTCGCTACTGCTGTCACCATGCCCAGCATTCCTATCCCCAAGTCCTCCGCCTACTTCTCCATTGCCATGGGTATCCTCTGCGCTGTCCAGGCTATCGTCAAGCACTTCTGGCTCGTCGGCTCCCGCGAGAAGTACCGTGATTGGCTCCCCAACTGGATGTCCGTCGGTGTCGCCTGGGTTCTCGGCCCCGACTCCGGATATGCCAACGCCATTCTCTGTAAGTCATTTTGGTATCATTTTATGAGTTTTTAACTAACGACTTATGCAGTTGGCTCTATTACAGCGTGGTGGTGGCGCAAATGGTTCAACAACCATTTTGAAATGTATGCTTTCGCGATCGCCGCTGGTTTGATCGCTGGAGAAGGATTCGGAGGTGTCATCAACGCCGCCCTCGAGCTTGGAAAGGTCAGCGGTTCTTTTAAGGGAACCGAGATTGCTCTGCCCGGTGCTGAGTGGTAATTACTCAAATAGTTAATGCGTCATGAGTGTTGAGCGATTGGCGGAGGATGTTTCAACGATCAAATAGCTAGCTTTGCTATATGAATATACCCACTTGATCTTCAGAGTTCTATGACGGTGTGATTAAGGCTCAAGGTAGCGACTGTATGATGTCTTGATTCAACAAAAAGGTCTTTGTGTTTTGAAACGTAGTGTACGACTCCTGTTCTTGTGGTTATGTTGAAAAAGTTTTGTGTTGATTTATGCGTGGTTTCGGCATTCTTTCTCTGTTAATGCCGATGTCTTCTTCTGGCAGCAACTCTTACAACTAAACAATTGATAATTCTATATTGCTTGTAAAAAAACAATGTAAAAAAAAGTCTTAGAGTTCGACTGTCACTTCGACCAGATACCAGATCTCCAGAGGTGGTAGGGGAATGAATTGGTTGCGAAATTGAAAGAGCAGCAAAGCCAAGAAATTGTTTCCCAAGGGCCGGACCGACATTTACCCGGCTCAGATCTCATAACAGCTCGAGAAGGATCGAACTCGGTTTACTTAAACTTTACAGTCTGTGTTACTCCGACGCTGATCACTGTTAAAGAACTCTCGAGCTCTGGTTACGGTGGATGTATATGGTGGGGGGCAAAGAACCTTGTTCTTGTCTAGTGTCACTTATCTAGCGTTCTATTGGGCTATGTTTCAGTTCCACATGGACAATCCTTGTTCCTTTAGCCTAGGGTAGCACACCATTTTGACAACTCTCCCATCATATCTACAACTTCATAGATAACTTGATATTAGATTGTCTGGACCTTTCTGACGCGGTTGAGATACAACCAACTTACCACCTCAGCCGTAGGCCAGTCACGTGTCTCTCGCTTAATCAGCAGCTCCTCGAGTATAAATTCCTTTCCATTTCTTCTTCAGCTTCTTCCTTCCTCTCTCCCACATATTTTTCGTCGAGTAGACCGGCAGAGCTGCATTTTTCTCTTCCCTTTCATTCGGAATTTTCACGCAGGCCTGCTTGGAATCGCTGAAGTCGGCTGTTCTTAACCTTTAACAAATTCGAGACCCATAATAACAGTATCTTGTTTTTCGACTTGGCCAAGTTCGCGATTCCAAGCGCACCCGCTGCAACCGTGACCCGAGCAGCATTCTTGCTAACATGTCGCCTCGAGCCGGCAAGGGAAGCAGACGAAGCCAATCTGGCACGCCGACACCGTCCAGCCGGGCCCCCCGAACCATGACCACATCCGGGACCGACGCAGTCATAGATGGCGCGAAGGATGATCACGGCTATATCAGTCTATTGCGCATTTTCAACGAGCAAAAGATTTGCCCAGCTTTTCCAAGTCTCCAATGGCGTTCGTGGTACGAGGAGCACAGCGACTATGGCCACGTGCTTCACCAAGGCCCGAGACGAACACAACAACAAATAGATGGTGAAGATCGCGAAGAGCACATGAAGCGGAAGTATCCAGATGGCGTCTTGATTCAGAAAAGCTTCGGTGTCGACAGTCCCCCTTTGCAAGTTGCCAGATATTGCACCTTTAAAGGCACCCGTGAATTCATGTCATACATTGATATCGTTGGTAATAGCGCTCAAAATGTCCGCTTGCAAGCTGGAATTATACTAATCATGCGCGATAGTCCCCGAGATTGCCAGCAATGCCGCCCTGCTTGCCGATAAATTCAAACCCAATCAAGACACCCTCAGCGCCGATGCACCAGGTTCAATGGTTTAGAAGACCAAGAACGATGCAGAAGGAGATGAACTCGAGTTTCAGAAGTTCATTGAATCAATATACGAAGATTTCCGAGGCCACGGCAACGAGGAAGAGGGCCCAGAGATCCCAAAGCCGAACCCAAAAGACCTTTTAAAAGCCTACGAAGAAGATGAAGAGATCAAATCGTTTGTTGACAGGATAGCGAAGCTTTGTCCCAAGCCAACTTTGATCCCAGTCCTCAACAAGCACGTGGACTCCAGGGTGTCGTCGATCAAGGGACAGATATCTCGAAAGGCATTCGTTCTTGTCCATGCTGTCCAGATCCTCCTCTTTGCTCCCATGGACTGGGACAGGGATCGTGTCTACTCTCGTGACAGAGAGAAGTACGTCCATCGATTCCCAACTCCCGCGGAATTCGGTGGCGGCAATGGAACACAAGTCGCAGGCATGTTTTCCATGGAAGATCTACACCGGGCCATTTTGATCTTCTACACCCTTGTCTGCCGTCGATCGCAATCGAAGCGTACGGTTTGGATAACGCGGCCCCCACCCGTCTCTAAGAACGACCCGGAATTTGTAGGCTACTGGGATGAGTCCGCGGCGGCGATTGCAGAGGGTCCCGAGGCTGCCGACACGGTGGTGGAAGTTTCTCTCGCGGCGGGCGCCAAATACCAAGCGAGTGTCAAGGAGAAAAAGCGTGAGCGACTGGTAGCCCAAAGAGCTTGGACCAAGAAGTACCGAGAGCAGAAGAAGGAGGACGGCAGGGACATCGACGTACTGAGTGATGATCGCGTACCCCCGGATCCAGATGCCCCGCCTGCAGTTACCGGAAATCGACACGTCGAAGTCTGTGCTGCACTATTGGAGTCAGCCCAGTCAACCCGGCCGAAACTGGCCATCAGGGAGAGAATTGCTGAGGCCAGGATCAGAGACATGGAGCCTTTGTCCAAAAAAAGCTTCGAGGCCGTCATGAGTCGTCTCAACACTGTCCATGGAAAGGAGGACTTTGACGCAAAGTTGGCTCGGATTCGGGACACGATCACACAAGTCGAAAGTTTTCTTCCAAACAACAAGATCAACGATTTCATCAGAAGCCAGGAGGAGTCTGAGGTTGTCACAGAGTTTCGGCGCGCCCACCCAGACAAAGAAGTAGAGTTGCTGAAGCTCAGTCGCCAGCAGTATGCTCTCGAGCACGTACTGTCATCGCTTCAGCCAGAACAGTCTAAAGAAGGGCTACAGTCTCTTTGCCAGACGTTTGGGATTGCGCCTTGGCCTGATCTCAGGCTGTATCCTGGCTGCGAGGATGTCCAGTCCCTCAAGCCCCACCAGGTGGAAGGTTAGTTTTCTTTGCCTTGAAGTTGTTGATTCCAACCGGCCTGTTTGAAATCGCAACCACTTGTCAATACCAATGACGTGCTAATGTGTCCCAGATGCTGTCAGCACCATTCTACGTGGAGAGAGTTTCTGGCGACATACCTTCATTTCGAACGACATGGGAACCGGGAAAACTAAAATCTATTACAGCACCATCGCCCTCAATCAAAGACGCCAAGAAGAGCGTTATAACATGGAAATGGAGACTCGAGGCGAATCGGAGATCAGGTTTTGCCCATCCCTTATTCTTACACCAGTCAATGCGATTTGCCAAACCTGGAAAGAGGGCCATGAGAACTTCAAAAATCTCGAGATCTACGTCTACTACAGCACTCCCCGCGAGTTCCCAGAGAAGAAAGCAAACGTGGTTGAGAACAAGAAATTTATTAACTTGTTGAGACGATTCGCTGATCGTATCCATGATCCAAAGGTATTTCAAACACCATTGCCTGGAGTTGTGTATCTAACCCCTTTAACAGAATGGTCGCGTCGTCATTATTTCAACCTACCCAACATGGTCCAGCCGCGCCGTTTTGAAGCGAGAGCGAAAATTTGTCTTCAAGGATGGCAAAGCCCCCACATCGGTTATGAGACAACGAGCATTGGACAAAGAACGTTCTGAAGTCCAGGATGAGGATGTCGAGCAGGACGAAGAGGAGGCGGCGGCCGTCAAGAACTACACCACTGAGGATCTGAACATGGACGATATCGAGTTTATCGCCCAAAACGAAACCGAAGCCACCGAAAGAGCAGACGGCAATCTGATCGAGTACCTTTGCAAAGATGAAGCCTTCTCGAAAGCAACATTTGAGTTTATTGTTGCTGACGACGCTCACATTGCCAAAAGGCTCAACGGCATGTATAACCACATGCTGCGCCTTCTCGACTGGAAGAAGCTCCTATGGGTGACTGGCACCCCGGTTCAAAGTTCCTTTAGAGACTTGTTGTCTCCTCTGTCTCTTATGTGGGCAGCTTATGGTATTTCACTTGACGTCGACACTCAATCAATTGGCTAGGTGCCAGGGTTGTACGACGAGAGCTATGATCCTTACACAGAAGAGAACAAGTTCGACGACAGGAAGAATGTCACGCATGGCATCTTCACTGAAACCTACTTGACAAAGTTCCCTCAATTTGCCGTTCTGAAAGATGTTTTCAACAAGTCTGACGGCAAGTGTCGCCTCTGGATGGCCAACCCAGACATTTTCCGTGCTGCTGGTAGTGCATTCAATTGGGGAACAGACGCTGGTCATCGTGTTGTGCGACCGATCTACAAGATGCTCCAGGTTCGCCGTACCATGAGGACACCGCTCAAATTGCCGGATGGAAAGGTGTACTACCCTGCCCAGGATCTACTCCCTTCCACTATCGTTCTCGAAGAAGTAACACACGACGAAACGGAAGAGATCTTTGATCTTGTTCAGAAAATGGGACAAGATCAGGCAAAGAAGCTGTACCAGAAGAAGATGAAGGAATCTAGCATCGAGGACATGCATCGAAGTGGCAACTCTGAGACCATCAATCGTCAAAGCGAGGACTCTATCCGCAAGATTAACTTTGGCGAGCACCGAAAAGGTGTCCTGACTTCATTTGACTGGCGCAACTACAAACTCTTGTACCCGGATAACCCGGTTCTCTTTGGCGGGGAAGATGCAGTCAACCAGAGCATTAAAGTGCTGAGAGATCCCAGGACTGCACGGACAAATTCGCAGATGCAACGAGAAAACAAGAAGGAAGCGACCTCATCGCTACCAGTGGTCGGTGTCGATAAGGTTGAAGAACTTCTTCGCGACGACATCAACGGTGGACTCAGCTTCTTCTTTGGACTGACAAACAACGCCCCATCGTTCCTACCACCCGGCGACCGTGCTACCTATATCCACTGGCTCTGCTACGAGAGCCCCGTCATGACGCGGGCCTTGGAATTGGTGTGGCAGTATGTCAGAGAGGAGAAAGAGCGTGTCCTTGTCTACGTGGATACACCATGGATTCAGGCGTAAGTGCCAACCCTTCCCGACTTCAAGCACATCCGCTTGTAATCGTGATAATATGCTAACTGTGTATCACAGTATTGTGGTTCAGCTGTTTACTATAGCTGGCTTCGATGTTGTTACCGTTCGCCCCTCCGACAGCGCCAACACCAAAAACAACATTATTGCCAAGTGGAACGACCCTAGCTCAGGCATCGAGGTGTTTGTCGCCAACGTGAATACCATGGGTACTAGTGTCAACATGCATACCTGCTGCTGCAGGGGCATTTTCATGAACTGGCTTATGAATGCGAAAGCCATGCTTCAAATCATCGGCCGCCTTATCCGAATCAACCAGGTCAAGGCTGTCAAGTTCCACCTGATCAAGTTGAAGAACAGCTACTATGATAACATAGAGCGCATCTGCGTGACGAAGTGGGCGAACCAGTTGTCTGCAGAAGTTATGCTTCCTGACTGGATGACTGATGCAATGCGTGAGATTTGCATCTTTGAGCTCATCAAGACATCTTGGCATCAGCCTTTCAACCGCTATGCCTGGGTTGTTGAGCGAGATGTCAGCGGGCACGATATGGAGTATCATTCAGACGATATGATAGGCCTTGGACACGTTTTCTCCGCCGTTGCCAAGTTGCTGCTCCATGATCCTAAGAGCCAGATTCAGGATTGGTGCACAGAGAACGTTGACTGGATCGTCGACGGCTGCCGCGAGCTCACGTCCACTTTTGACTCTCCGGACGAGATCGAAGACCACCTGTCCAGTCCATCCGAGGAGCTTTTTGACTACTTCTTCGAAAGGCTTGTGGCTGCTGTCGCTAAAGCTCGCGATCGAGGCAGCATAGAGCGGGGAGCCGCGAACTGTCACAAGCAGACGCGTCAGGGTGTCAAGGCTAGAAAGGATAAGCAGCAACCCAGCGATGAGTTTGACTTGGGCAATGATGTAGAGGATGAAGAGGATTCGGAGATTGACGACATGGCGTTGAAGCATGAGGACTTGGAGCAGGTCGAGATCGATGCTCCCGATGCAGCTGGGTCTGAGACGCCCGACAGGGGCATCAAGCGCAAGGCGGGGAATGATGGCCGCGATGAAAGTACTATCAAGAAGCAGGACACCGGTGCTAACTAGGCTGGGCATATGGAAATGAGGAAATTTTGGTATGGGGTCTTTATAGGTGAATGGGCTTAAACTGATTCGGCGACGGGGGCTATTCTATAGTAAAAGTACCATTCACAGGGGCCCCATGTATTCTTGGCATCATCAGAATCTAATTGGTAGTACAAACCTTGTCCTTTGTTGCTCTCGAAGTACCTGTGTGGTAAGTCTCTTTCCGTCATCATAGCAATATCATGTTCGCAAAGTGATATACTTTGACTCGTTTGTATAAGTATTAAGCCCTAAGCATATCCTGAGCCGCGAAAGAGTTTAGAGAAGTTTGGTGTAATTAAGTAAAGCTTTAGACCAACCTAGTCAGATATCTTCTCAAGAGTCATAGGTTTGAGAGATTTCTCATGGGAACGATGCTATTGTTTGTTCACACACTTGCAAGTCACTGTTATAGTCTTATCACTCCTCGTAGCAATGGTCTGAATAAAGGTTTTATGGTCCATAACTATCCTCTGAGTCGCTGCAAATATCGTATAAATAGTCAGGCCTTCGTTGACGTTTCAGATTTCTCCTGAACTGCTTCCGGCTCATGTTCTCCTTTGACCTGTAAAGGCTGTCCAATAATGGCCTCAAAGTTCTGGTAGTTGTGTTAGAGGATGAAGAAGACTCTTGTTTGGATTGTGGAGTTGACTTACAGGGCCTTCAAAGGTCTTACCATAGACCACCCAGTACAGAGCAAGAAGTAGGTAGAAAACGCCGACGACAGCGGAAACGTAGTCTATCCAGGTTAGTAAGCTTCTAACCATCAAGGGTAGGTATTCTTACTCATGGTGTTAGCTGATACCGGAAGGGCAGTCGGAAAACAGAAGAACTGCAAGAGTCAGTAAGGAGTTGAAAAGGTCAAGGTATCTGGTGCTTAGCACTTACGATCGTGATGACAACGACAAAGACACTTGCAATAATATTGACAACAGCACCAGTCCACAAACCCATCCTGGCCGGTGTCTTTCTTGTCTGATACTCCTTGAGAATGCTTCTTCCTCTCACCAATAAGGCAATGACAGGACCAGCATAAGAGACATTAAGGAAGATAGTGCACGAAGCAATGTAAGCACTGAAAGCCACAGCAGGTCCAAGGTACAAGAGTCCAAAGAGGACATTGAAGATGAAACACAAGGTAATTGTGCGGACGGGGACATCAAGCTTTGGTTCAATGTGTGCAAAGTAGTTGTGGCAGATGATACCCTTGTCTCTAGCCATGGCATAGAGAAGACGGCTTGCGCTGGTGATACTGGCTGACGTGCCGTTGATGAAGCAGACACTTAGCATAAGGGCTAGGATAGTTGCCGCGGCGCGACTCTTTGTGCTCTGGAGGAAGAGTTCGACAATGGGCATGCCTGTGTTGGAGGCGAGGATTGTTGCGGGGTCGGTGAGGCAGAAGAGGATAACGAGGATGAATAGAAAGCCACTGAACCAAGTTAGTAAGAGTCAATACGCGGGAAGAGTGGAATGACTTACGTGACACCGCCAATAACGATTGCCAGCATCATAGCTCGAGGTGCATCTCTCGAAGGGTTGGGCATCTCCTCAGTCAGATGCAAGACAACATCAAAGCCGATGAGTGATAGGGCAGACTGGAGTAAGCCAAGGATCCAAGCCACACCATCAGACCAACCAGTCTCATTGCTGAACTCTGTAAAGACTTGACGAGCGTCTGTCTTTGGTGACATGGAAAGTAGGATGATGCTCATGATAACAACCGAGAGGATGGACCAATATACTATCAACGACGTAAGTTGGTGGGACAGGGTATGTTGACAGGTCACTTACAAGCCATGTCATTCCAACGACCGAGAATCTTGTTGCCCCAAACGTTACCGACAGTCCCGAAGGTAAGTATGGCGAGGAAGAAGAGATATGTCTTCCATTGTGTGGCCTCGTATGCGTTATTCGAAGCGACGACGGCTGCGGCGGAGACTAGCTGGGCTGATTCATGTCAGTCAGTCTTATGATTCAAGGACTTGAGCTTCAGGATATCTTACCAGCAAAGAAGGCTTGAGTTGTCACAACAGTCAACCAACCAGCAATGTTGGTCCATCCAATAAAGAAACTCTGCCAAGTGTTAGTCTTTGTTCATCAGTTAGCGAGTTCAACGTACCATGGGCCGTTTCCACTTTGGTGTACAAAGAGCGTACATGAAATGATACTGTCCACCTACAATCAATCAGCTATTGTTTCCGGAACATACTCGTATTTTCTTACCTGCAGTTGGCCAAAGTGCAGCCATTTCTCCCAAACTAGCAGCAAGAGCCAAGTTACAGAAAACACAGACTATAAACCCATAGATAAACGACACGGAGCCCCCAGAAGGGAGAATGTATGCCATGGTACCAGCGAGTGCAATCCATGTACTGACGAGGGGTTAGTCAACGCCAAGAACAAACAGGGTATGACGAACTTGAGAATGGCAAAGGCCATAGCAACCATGGTCAAAGTCGAGAGACGCTGCTGCAAAGCGCCCTCCTGCGTTGAAGAAGTCATCTTGGCTGTTGTTGCGTTCTGCTATGATGAAGTGTTTTCTCGTTGGGGTATCAGAAGGAGAAAACGCTTGACTCATATACTTGTTTCCAAGGTCACACGGCCGAGCCACTTGCGTTGATAAGACCTATCAGGGAAAGGGGGCCACCGTCGCACAAATCTCCAACAACACGTCAATCTACACTGCTCTCCATTGACATGTTATCATACCAAACATTGCAATCTGCCGAGATATCCTGATAAGTCTGGTCCATTACCCCAGGTTTTGCGATATCAGTGCATCTCCACTGAATATACCGAATCCGGCAGATTTACGAGAAGAATGGCATATTTTATTGGGGCCAAGGAATTGGCTTGCTAGTGCCAACCTTGATGCTGGGTCCTAGCGGATTGCGGGGGAGATCTAGATTGTCCAGGTCTCTCGCAAAATTACCGGATGCGGTAATTCGCGTCAGAGATAGCTGATATCGCAATGGGGCGAAATCTTCGTATCGTGAGGTTTTGTACTAGATAGAGGATCATCGTTATCTTCTCGCGAAATTGCCGTTTGAGGAAATGGACATTGGGGCAAGATGAGAACACGGACCGAGGATAAAATGAGTAGCCGTCCTCGACGATACTTCTGGTTGATTCTGCCTATCATTCTTGTTTTGTGTGCGCAAGTGTCTTGATCAATTGAGTTGTCTTGACTCGAGGGACGCGTAATTCAACCTTTGTCATCAAGCTTGACCAAAAAGCTTCACAATGTCTTCTCGAGACGGCTTCTCATGGACTGAGTCTCAAGGACTCAAGGCTGGTGTTCCATGCATTGGAGCTATCAACCCTCCTACCAATCTCTCAGACAAGAACACAAAGTTTGATGTGATTGTTGTTGGTGCGGGTTACTGTGGTCTGACTGCAGCTCGTGATGCAGCTGTTGCTGGTGAGTATCTAGTCCTTTTAAACTCATGACACATTACTAACAAACATCAGGCCTCAAAGTGTTGCTCATTGAAGCTCGTGATCGTATTGGAGGCCGGTCATGGAGCTCAAACATCGAGGGCTATCCATATGAAATGGGTGGTACCTGGGTATACTGGGGACAGCCAAACGTATGGCGTGAGATCTCCAGATATGGCATGCAAGATGAACTTGAGATCTCATATGACTTCTCAAGAGGTGTCAACAAGTATCTTCTGGTAACACCAGAGGGCACTCAAAAGTTCACTCACGAGGAAGAGGTTAGTCCCAGTGTCTGTATAACAAGTCAAGAATCCAGACTAACGAACCCAGGATCAACTGATGCAAAGTGGTCTTGAAAAACTGGTCAATATCGACGGCCAAGGCGGTCGAGAAGCATTAGTCTTCCCCCACAGCGCAAATCTCGGCCCAACAGCCGCCAAATACGACCGCATGTCCATCGCAGACCGTCTCGCCGAGATCCAAAACGATCTCACCCCCAACGAGCGCATATGCCTAGAAGCCTTCGTTCTTCTCTGCAGCGGCGGTACCCTCGAGACCACTAGCTTCTACGAGTTCTTGCACTGGTGGGCTCTCAGCGGCTACACATACCAAGGCTGCATCGAGTATCTCGTCAAGTATAAGTTCAAGGGCGGCCAGTCGAGCTTTTCTATTCGTTTCTTCAAGGAGGCGCTGGCTGGTGGAAACTTGACGTATTCTTTCAGCACGCCTGTTGCTTCTGTGAAGAGCGGCCCTGCTGGTGTTGAGGTCACTGTGAGAAGTGGCCAGAAGTTCAGAGCGTTGAAGATGATTAGTGCTATGCCACTTAATATTTTGAATGATGTACATTTCGATCCTCCTTTGATGCCTGGGAAGAAGGCAGCGGCAGATATTGGCCATGTCAACCAGTGCACCAAGGTTCATGCTGAAGTTTCTGATCGAGATCTTCGCTCGATGACAAGTATCAGCTATCCTCACAACAAGCTCTCATACGGCTTTGGAGATGGTACAACTCCTGCTGGTAACACTCACATCGTGGCATTTGGCGGTCAGCACAACCACTTCCACCCCGAAGAGGATATTGAAAAGACCAAGGCTGCCTTCCAGGGTTTTGCGCCGATGGATATCAAGCGCTTAGTCTTCCACAACTGGTCCAAGGATGAGTTTGCGAAGGGAGCTTGGTAAGTAAATCCCATTCTTTCGATATGGCAAAACTAACAGTTATAGGTTCTTCTCTCGACCTGGTCTGCTGACCGATCATCTTGGCGACATGCGAGCTACGCAGGGTAACATCATATTTGCCTGCTCTGATTGGGCTCTTGGATGGCGTAGCTTTATCGATGGAGCCATTGAGGAGGGAACGCGAGCTGCCATGGCTGTTCGTTCGAGCCTTTCTGAGCGAAGCCATCTGTAGTTAGAGCCAAGGATCATCATAATTCGTGCAGACTGCGTGTAAAAGTTGAGGCGGGCATTATTTTATTTCATTGTATCTTTGGATGTATCAAGCATAGATTTAAACTCATCTAAATATTAAAGTATTATCCTCTGAGTATCTTTTGCCCACCGCTAACCGCCAGATCAAGAATGGGCAATGTCTAGGAGAAAAGCGATATCTAATTTAAAATTTCTTCGTACTTGAGACTTGGAGTATCTTTAAACTGTAAAGCGTGATAGGTAATGCATCGTCCAGCACTGCACCTTGGTGTCATGTTCGTTGCTCATGTTTGATTCGTTTGAACCAGTTCATCAGCTCGCAAAAGCCGCCCATAACCGTTGTAAACCACAACTTGCCCATTCTGAGCCATCTGGTCCTCCTCTTTCCAGGCTTTCTTTCGCTCTTCTCTCCAACTTTGTATCTCATGCCTCCTCTCCTCCGACATCCTGAGGCGCTGCAAGGGATCGCCAGTGGTACAACCTGTGTCCTGGCAGGCTTGGAAGACTCTATCACCAAGTCGACAAAGAGCGGTTTGTATGTCTACCATATCAGCGGTATAAGCTAGTAATAATTAATTTCACACAATTTAATAGCGTAGTAGTGGCTGGACTTACCATCGGGCAGCCTGCTTCCCACATAGTTGTTCGTGAACAAGAACACGTATAGTTCAGAACTGAGACTTTCCTGGGGCGGAAACATTATGCTGTCGCCATAGAGTTTCATAGTGGTGCTGATCTCTTCACGCAGATAGGTTTCCACGAGTCGGTGGTGCCAGAGCTTAGACAAAACGGGCCTGTGAAATACGGCTGAAGGGTCGTAATCCTTCCTCGGACAGATCTCCATAATCTCTGTGCTGGTATTAACTAGATCTTGGATTTGTGCGAGGTTCTCTTCCCAATGGTCAAACTTCCGCCGAAACAGCTTAGACCTGCCCCCACGAACATAATCTTCCAGTAGTCCCATCAGTTGATGCATTCTATAGCCCTTTTTCAAGCGATGTCGCATCCTTGCAACCATCAAAGCCAAAGGGATAAGCTCGTCGTTATAGAATATCTCTCTGATGTAAGGTATGTGATATCCAAGGAGCTTATCTCGGTTCGCTCGGTAGCAAGCTCGTACTGACGGAGAAGCCGCGCTGAGTGATGCTACATCGCGTAGTGAGTAGCACTGCTCGAATACAAGGAACTTGAGCTCCGCTGGTAGCTTTTCAAAGCAATCCATTTTCTCAATCTTGGGCCCATTGTCTTTTTGGAGGTAGAAAGCCAGAAGGCTTAAAGCCAAGGATGCGGCGGCACCAACAAGAAAGAGGATGGAATCGCTCGGGTTTCGGGACATTTTCATAAAGATGAATAATGAACGGTATTTATTGAGTAAAAGATAGTATCATGTTCTTGTGACCTTTGTTAGCAGTCTTGGGGTCAATACTATGGCCAGCGAGACTAGAATAGTTGTATATCTAAAAGATAGAAGGCAAGAAGTGGCAGAACCATTTCTCTTATAGTAGCATCTGCGTTATAATTCTTCAAGTAGAGGTTAAATTGAGGACATTCACGTATGCAAAGTAACGATGCCAAACACCTTTGTGATAGGGGCGACTGGTTTGGTCAGAAAGCATAATCGATATAGAACTTTTGTTAACGGAACTATGGCTCAGCATGCGAGTCTATCTATTCCTCAGCATATAAGCTGTGGATATCTCACCGAACCGAATCAAGGTAACGTTCTAAAAATGAAAGCTTATTTTATATACATTCTTGAACTGCATAGGTACCTACACTTATAGTGTTTTATAGGACTTCTAATTTGATAAAGAGATATAGTAGTTTAAAGAAAGTATCTCTTTCTTGTTTTTTATTTTAGTGCGTCTCGCTCGGTTTATACAATACTTAGGCTTAAGCTTTGATTTTCTTGCTCTTTTCAGACCACGCTCTAAAGCTTGTATTTTGAGTAATATTTATCACGCATTTTAATACACTGACATCATTAACATTAAGGATAAAGCTGGCCTTCTGTTCTTCTAAATCTCTCCAGCCCCATACTCACCCCGCACTATCCTTAACTCTATGCAAGAGAGCGGTATATCCTTTCTGCCTTCGTAGTAGACCTAGTAGACCTTGACATCCCGGACCCTATTTGGAATTTCTCAGTAACGATTCTGAAAAACGTATCGACGACGTATGCTGCCCGAGCATCTCTTGTAAGCTGTTGCAAGTGGAGGAGCAAAGGATATCCTTGTAGAACAACGTGGTCGAGATATAGCTTGACATCATACGCGCCTTTTGTTTTAAATCGGCATTCTCGCAGGCGCTGCATGACGAAGTCCGGCGGCCCTCCTTGACGCATGATGTCGTCCACTTGTTGCTGCTCATTCCGTGCATCCCCGTATCCGAGTTGCCAACGTACATCAAGTAAAATCCTTTTGTGTCGGTTTTTAACCAAGCATGGCATGTTGACGCCTAACTCGCGGGCCTGAGGTGGTTGTGGAAGGAGCTTGTAGATATGAGATTCGAGTTCTTTGACGTGCTCATTTTCTGAAAATAGCTTTTCTTCCCCGTTACATCCTAGTTGGCAATAAAGGTCGTAACGGAGGAAGTGATTGACGGCGTTGCTCAGCTTTGTACGTGTGCCTGGCCGCGAGAACTGGCAATATTCACCCCAAATGATGGCCATCTCCCTATTCATATTGAATATGGCTAGGATATATCCCAAGTCGTATTTCCATTCCTCTTCGGGTTCTGAGTTTTCGAAGCGAGCGAAAGCGTCAAGGTGAGGTCTGAGGCGTTGCTCGATCTGCAAGGACGTTAACCCACGAGTCTGGGCACGTATCTTTCTCACATGCAAGAGAATTAATGCTAACGGTACGAGTGTTTCATCTCCAAAGATTCTATATATCTCTTGGATATAAGGCCGTAGAAAAGAAGCGCATTGGTTGGCGTAGAAATAGTGTCGTGCGGTTGGAGAAGCTGAGTTAAAGGATTGGACATCTCGAAGTACGTCAAGCTTGGCCTGAACGTCGAGGTGTTTCACGATATTGATATGGATCTCGGGTGGGAGCCAGTTGAAGATGTCGGAAGCCATCATTGGATAGAAGAGGGTTTCCATGGGATGGTTTCAAGGGTGAGGGTGAGGGGGGCGCTGAGGGTTTTATAGTTGGACAATAAATCAAGGTTTTCCATGATATCATTATAGAAGGAGAAAAAGCGCGGATAAGATCTTTCGGACAAGGTTTCGCCTTATGATTGGATCTCGAGGTAAGAGAAAGTAAAAGTCGAGGGACATGCTGGCTGCCTGGACTTGGTGCCTAAACACCAAAACTCTATACAAAGTTCAAGTGTCCATGTGCAACCAGTTGTTTCACAGCTCACTATTTGCATAGCAATTCATTTTCAATCAAATCATGATTTCCATTCGCTAACATTGAATCCATTGCTAAAAACCCCGCAGTACATCTAGCTTGAGCTCTTAGCCAACCCATCCTGAGCAGCCTTCTCTAGCCCCTCAACCGTCTCCTTAGGCAGCGACAGGAACGGCGAGTGAGAGCTCTTGATGTGGAAGCTTCCAGCATCGGGACCCAACGTAGAAGCCAGATTCTCCTGAATAGCCAAAGGAATAGCACGATCTTCATCGCAGAAGATGAAGAAGCACGGAACATCGTGCCACGGCTCGTACTCGACATTGTCGGTGTACACGCGACGAGATTGATGCTTCAACGCAGCAATGGCCTTGGTCTGAGTTTCAGGATCAACGTCGTGGTAGAACACATTTTTGGGTGTGTCAGCGTAAACATAGTCTCCCTACTCATTATTAGGAAATCATCTTGATGAGCGATATACAACTTACCTCCACACGCATCCAAGGAAGATACTCTCCCCCAAGGGCCGCAAGAATACTAACTCCCTTTGGCATGACGAACGCACTCAGATAGACAAGCTGAATAACACCGCCCGTCTTGCCCTCCTGCACGCGCTGCTTCAAGCCCAAGCCCTTGACAGCCTCAGCACCGACAAGTCCACCGTACGAATGCACAACAACCATGACATTCTTGCCCTCCCCAACCAACTTCTCAACGACAGCTCGCACAGCGGCGACATCATCGCTCAAGCCCACGGTAGGAGGCTCAGCACCGACGGAGGGGTAATCAACAGCCTCAGTCTCCCAGCCCTTGGCGTGGAGGTCTTTCCGCACGACATCGTAGCAATCAGCTGTGTGCCATGCACCAGGCGCAAAGACGATAGTAGGGTTAGACATGATGAGGTTCGAATATACTACAAGATAGTTGAACTGTAGAGAATAGAGGGGGAGCACGATAGAATAAGTAATGTCTCACAGATTTAGTTGAGGGGTCTAGTATCAGTTGAATCCACTCGATTGCAGGGTCCGTCGTATCTCGTTACGACACGCGCAGGGTTCACGCTGCAGAGCGCGAGTCAAAGCTGTGGGTTTGGGCTAGATTTGAATGGGGTTTAGTTGGATATGTCATGCGTCAAACGCGGCTAACACTTCGCCGATCAGGGTTCTCCTGGTCGAAAACAGCACAGAGTTCAAGGGAGTCGATAGAGTTCAATCTGGATCTAGATTAGCTTAACATACCAACTGGAACTGTTCTTCTTGAAATATCAGAGCCTCATTGTGATGCGCGTAAGCAGAGTTGCCAGACACTGCCTGAGTCTTCCATGAGCATTTATTTCGTCTGCAGATGCCGAGACGTATAAGAAAAGTCTTTGAGGATTCTCTGTCAATATAAGACCATGTCGGTTGCTCTAGAAGTACGGATACGGCCAGCCGCTATTATTTTGACAGAGATTCACAGCTGGCTTCGTCCTCGTTACTTCCAACTCAAGCGTTGTGATTCATCTCGGATGATTGATTTTCTCTTGTTCTCTCGATTTCTGTGTTGAATCACCTGGCAGAGATTTAATACGTGCATATAATCATTGCAGAAGGATAGACCTCCTTGGTCTAACGGACATATCTTGGCCTGCATATAATTCTATCAATTTCGGGCAATATGCTGCGCTGACTCTCTTTTCAGCCTATCATCACACATGTTCAACCATGACAAAGATCAGTAAGCAACGATGTCAGCTCTCGATAATATCAACAGACAATCCTCTTACTCACAATCCAAATATAAATTGCTAGCGGTCGAACGGCTGTTTAATATCCAAGATCCAGTGGCAGTTCCACTTCCGTTAGCCTCGTATATCCCTTGCAAGCTCCCCGTCAACGGTCCATCACTATCTTTTTTCCAAACAAGCTAACTTAGTTTGCCCCGTCGTACCAACACAATGGCCAGTCAACAGACACCCAGCCAATCCGACGAGTATCGAGCGTTATACAAAACATATCTGCAACACTGCAACGCTCACGACTTTGAAGCGATGAGATCATTCTACGCGTCCCCCCTCATCGTCAACGACAAGCCAATCACCCCGGAAGAAGCAACATCTTCCTTCCAGCCTATGATCGACGCATTTCCCGACTGGCACTGGAACATGCGAAACCTCACCATCGAAGGCGACTACCTCTCGCTTCTCTTCAAAGTCACGGGCACTCACAAGGGTGACTTTCGAGGCTACAAAGCCACCGGCCGCAGAATTGAGACGAGCCAGTTCACGCTGTACCATGTGGTCGACGGGAAATTCGCCCAGGTTTGGGACCTGGTTGATTTCGAGACCTTGATTTCGCAGATCAAATAGAGGATTTATAACGGCAGATCAATGATCAATGACATTCTTTTGTTTCAGTCTTCCCGGGAATTTGGTGAATTAAGGAGGTCAACGCCAAACCAGGCTGAAAGAACGCCGGAGAATAGCTCGTTCGCCTAGCATCCAAGGAGCAGGGGCTGCGTGTTCCAGTGATGATACCACGCTGCTGGGTATCAAAGGTGCCGAAATGCTGGGTAAAATGTTTCATCTGATTCAAATACCAAGAACTTAACTCACCGGCCGCCGTCGAGCTCAGACTCGGATGATTGTGAAAGCCATAATTCTTTATTCAGTTATGTGACTGCTCACAATAAGGTCAAAGAGCTAGTTAATAGGGGACCAGTTAAAACCGTTGATTCCCGAAAGAAAGACTGTGGCCCAAGAAGCGGCCCAACCGAAACTGATCAGCACACGGGGCACTGGTTCCGCCCGCCGTCAAAGCACTAGACAGGGCTTCTTAGGTGCATTTTTTTTAAGATGATAAGGCTGTGTCGCTCAGACCTCAACTGTTTTTTGTTTTCGCGGGGTGCTGCATTCCAATGGATCCCAAAAACAGCCCTTGTCTAGTCCAGGCTTCAAAATAGGTACCGATCCATATCAAAGCCGAGTTGGGTACGATACGAGTGCAACGCTGCAATTTTTCTCTCCTCTAACTCGTGACGTATTATTTGCTTCTTCTTTTTTTTTTTTTTTTTTTTTTTTTAAAAAAAAAGGATCGTCATTCTCGCAGGTTTAGATCGGGTAACAATACGCCATAAAGGGAGACTCGCTGGGCTTGACTCGACGGAAATTTGACATCTGACAACGCTAAATGTAGCCACGGGTGTCTTAGTGGTCGATGGGATGATCGGCCGCAAAGTTAGGGAGTCTTCCCGGGTGGCGTCCAAGGTGATGATCCAGACCCCTGCCTCGCAAGCTCGCTCGCAATGTCACCTCACCTCGCAACGCCCAGCTAGCGTCTTCAGTAGTGAGAAACAGACGGGAGGTCTATGGAACACTTTGTGAGAAAAAGAAATATCTGGGGCGGATTCGAGATGGGAACTAAGTTTAAAGCCCGCTCGTTCTGGAATGCTTTTCGTACTGTGGTGCTCTCGTTACTTCATCCCTACGACATTCCCCCTCATGTGAACTCGTCTCCCTTTTTTTCGTTTCAGCATCATCGTTTTTCTTTTCTTGCAGCATGGCCTCGTTGTATGGCCGTGACGTGAACACCGATCGGAGCAGCGAGCTCAATGCCACGACGACGATTGTTCTCGTGCTGTCTGCTGTGCTTGTCGCTCTGCGCTTCTGGGCGCGATATGTGAGGATTGGATTTGGGACTGATGACTGGTTGACGCTGGTAGCGCTGGTGGGTTCCAATTGATCGGGATGCCAAGAGTTGTACAATTCTGACAATAAGTTAGGTCTTTGTGTTCATCACAGGCGCTCTCAATTATGGCAGTAGGTACTCCCATTCATTGGGTTCTGTATTGTCGCTAACAATTGATCAGTGATTGCGCATGGTCTCGGAAAGCATGCAAAGCGCGTGTCGGAACAAGATCTAATAATCTTCTTCAAGATCCTCCTCACCTTCGAATGCATCTACGTCACGGCGGTGATGCTCATCAAACTCGCCCTTCTATCGATGTACCTGCGCATCTTCCCATCTCGAAACTTCCGATTGGCCTCGGCCCTCATCGCCGCTGTCGTGATTGGCTGGTGGATTGCGATTTGCGCCGTGTGCATCTTCCAGTGCCACCCTATCAAGAAGGCTTGGATGCCCTGGCTTGACTATGGGACTTGCATCAACCTCAAGGCGTCGTTTATTGGCAATGCGATTCCGAACATCGCAACTGATATTGCGATTTTGTGTTTGCCCGTCGGGGCAATTTTGAAGTTGCAGGTCAACATGGCGCAGAAATTGTCCCTGTTGGTTATCTTTTTGCTCGGCAGTTTGTAAGTTCATGCACCAGCCTGTGCGTGCCTCGTATTGACCCGTTTAGCGTCTTGTTCGCCAGTATCTACCGATTCACGACCATCATGCAATTCGACCCTATCGATACAACATGTAAGAGTCCAGCAAATACACGTGCGACTCTCAACTAACTGACTTGAACAGGGACCCTCGCTACAGCTTGCACCTGGTGTGTCGTCGAAGTCGCCTGCGGAACCATCGCCCTCTGTCTCCCAACCCTCCGACCACTGATGCTCATGATCTCATCCAAGTTCGAAAGCGTCACATCCAGAAAAGACGCAGTTACACGTACCGGAATACAAACAGAGCTCGTCACGATTGGAGGGACAGGTGGAAAGACGGGGCATTTCCATCGGATAGATGATGCATACGAACCCAACTCCAGTCAAAGGGAACTTGCGAGAAGTGATGGAAGCATACCGCATGGTGATCCCAGTGATCGGGGATCAGGTGACGACGAAGTATCGTTACACCATGGGAAGATTGACCTTGGGCCCAGATAATTAATGTACACTCGAATTGCATTTGTATCATAGGAAAAGCATAGCGAGCCTGGCATAATACCATTTGGATTGGATACTCGAGCAATAACTCCAATTGAAGCGCACATCGACGAATTGCCAAGGTGGTAGCTGATCACTTGGTACAATGATTATGTGAAGAGCGTATAAGATAACTCAACATGGTCCTAGTTCTTGTGATGCAATGGGTGGGAATCCGTCGATAGTAATGCCGCGTCATAATCATGCCTGAACGAACGCAACTGCTCTATCAACATGTAATAAAGAGAGGATATATTGATAGCATAGCACTAACTCAGTAGCCCATTTCAGCCAACAGGTCCAGATCCTTCTGGAAATCAGTAGATTTGTACGTCTTCCATTCCGACCACTTCTCCCACTGCTCTCCCGCAATCTCGTCCGTCTTCTTCTCTTCCTCCTCCGGATTCACCGTCAGCTCGCCCTTATCAATCGGCGCCCCCGGCAGACGGACACCCTGGACCCAGTTGAAGAAGTTATCCGGGTCCCAGATCTTCTTGATCCTCCGCAACTCCTCGTAGTTATCACCAAAGTACGCACGCTCATGCATCGCCTCAGCCACATCGCGGTCCGGGAAGTTGACAAACGACGCCACGCCTGACTGCGACAGCGGCCGGAACGCCTGCTTGACCTTGGCGATGAAGCCGCGCATGTCTCGCTCCATCCACTTGTCCGTCCACTCGACCGTCACGTACGCGTGGAACACGGCGCTGCGCCAGAAGAAGGCCGTGTCCGTCGGCTTCTTCTCTGTCGCTTTGCCTCCGGAGTGGATCCACGTGACCAAGAAGTTGACGCTCTCTCCCGCGAATCTCTCGCGGAATTCCTCCATGAGCTTTCGGGTCGCCGCTGTGACCTTCTTGAGAACAACAGGGTCCTTGTTTGTGAAAATGAAGGAGCTGTACAGCTCATACGACGCATTGGCGGGATAGGCTCGCTGCGTCTCTTCTAGCCACTGTCCGACAAGTGTCTCGTACAGGAACCGGGTAGATTTCTCGGGCAGCACGCGACGCTTGAGCTGTGTGTTGAGCTCCGTGTTCTTGATATACTTGTCAATTATGCCGTCGTATTCTTCCTTGCTGCCGTCAAAAGCGATTGTGAACCGCACACCGCCCTTGTTGGACTGTCGAAGGTCGCAGATCCAGGTGCTGTCGATGGTCAGGTTTGTCGGCCAGTCAGTCACATAGAAGTCATCCATGGTTTTCATGACGTCGTCCGTGAATCCGTTCTTTGGGAACCACTGATATCGCCCAGCAGTCACTATACCGCCTGGGCTGTTTAGCTGCTGAACTCTGAGCTTCAGGCTGACCATAACTCCAAAGTTGCCACCACCGGCACCACGAAGCGCCCAGAAGAGTCTTGCCTCGTCGGATCCGGGAGCATCCCTCTCTGAGACGGTCACGAGCTCACCGTCGGCCGTCACCAGTGTCGCCTCGACAAGAGTATCGGATCCCATTCCGAAGGTCCGAGTGAATGGGCCAAGTCCGCTCCCGAGGATGAAGCCGCTTACACCAACGGTCGGACATCGGCCGCCATTAATGATGAAGCCATCGTGTCCGCCGTCGATAAGGGTCGCGTAGACGTGGCCCCACTGACACCCAGCGTCGAATGTGACCGTCTTTGTGTTCATGTCAAGCGCTACTTTCTTCATGCTTCGAAGGTCCAAGGAGATACCTTCCTGGGCAGTGGAATGGCCCGCATACGAGTGGCCATTGCACTTGATCGTGACCTTGAGCCTCTTCGCATTGGCTTCTTTGATGACAGCTTGGACGTGGGCAGGAGTCTCTGGACGAGCCACAAAGTCCGGTCGTGAAAAACGGAACAAGAGGTTGGACGTGGCTATAGCCTTGTCATATTCGGGCTGTCCACGTTCGAGGATGGGGACTTGCTGAGACTTGAGAGTCTGTATAGAGGCTTCCATGATCGAGTTCCTCTTTTCCTTTGCAGAGAATAAAAGCTTGGGGTTGGTATGAGGACAAGCACGTCCAAAGGTCGAGACGGATGTCCGTCACTCGGATACTTGGACCCTGTGGATGGAACACGCTGTGCAGTTCAGACACAACTCTCGTATATCGCGCAGCAAGCGGCTGACGCGGCCCGTGGCATTTGGAGAGAAATCCAGCCGTGTGTGATATATGCAGGCGAGTTCTTCTTCTGGTAGTCATTGGTGACCCGCGCGGCCCGAGCCAAGCTCAATGTCAATTTTCCGGAACTGATCAGCGCATCAGCTGTCCCATTAGAGTGCCCGACGACAGCTGAATGCTCTTTGGGTGCATTCGATTGGTTGCTCGAGTGCTTGGCCGACATAAACCGGTTCGACAATTGAGGTAGGTGATGACGGTTTTGGCAATGCGACATGGTTTTGGCGCAGCTGAAAGCTGCATGAAAGTCGGAGGGTGGTGTCTAGGTTCAGTCCCGCAAGAGCTGGAACTGCACATCTTATCACAAATGAGACGCCAACCACCTGAAGAGCTGATGAGCCATTGAGAGACGCTATAAAAAGGGTGGTAAATAGACAGAAGTTGCTCCAAATATGACCAACGAACTCGGGTTTCTCTCAAGTCGGGAGTGTCGAGACCAATTGGTGAGAGTTGAGCTTATCTTTGCAAGAAGAAAAATAGCCACTTAGGGTCAGCTAGGTTTTTTATTTCATTTCTCATCTATATTCAACAAGCTCTTCCCTAACTCTGCTGAGCAGGCTCTTCTGTTTGCAGTCGCAGCCATGTCCATCTTCCAGGATGCCCGCAACGGGACCCTTTCGAAATACAAAATCGACGATTATCTCAAGGGTGACCCAAACATCCTTGAGTCCATAAATCCCTCCAACGGCCTGACGCCTCTTGGGACTGCTGTGGTCGCTGGAATTCCCAACGTTGTGGAAAATCTGCTCAAGAAGGGTGCCAAGGCAGACGCACCATCCAGAGATGGAGAGACTCCTCTGCTCCTCGCCACTTCGAAGACGACCAAGGAGCGCCCCAAGATTGTCCAGCTGCTTCTTGCATCCACTCCAGCCGGTTCGGTTGACAGCACTACAGATGCCGCTGGAAAGAAAACACCTCTCATGTTTGCCATTGAGAATCGGGACATCCAGTCCATCCGGAACTTGCGCCGTGCCGGTGCTTCTCTGACCGTCAAGAATGCCGCTGGCACTACGGCTCGAGATGATGCCGTCGCTACCAAAGACATGGCTGTCGTTCGTGCGCTCAACCCCGACCAGGAGCGTCGCGCTTCTGGAATTGTCACTGACATGGTCCTCGCTTTCCTACTCTACATTGTGGCCTGGATGAACAGTGCTCTTGAGGACGCCGTCCGTCGCGCATCCGGCCTAAGCGGTCAAGAGGATCCTGGGATTGACACCGTAAGCAACAATCTGGCATGAAGTGACCAGTGGTAACAGCTTTATAGAATGTGAACAAAGGCATCACCCCAAACAAGAACCAGTTCCAGAGAAATGTCGACAAGTATGTCAACGAGAATCCAGTCCTCAAAAACTTCTTCAAAGACCGGCCGGACTTCATCCAGGAAGTTGCCAAAAAGGCGGCGAATCTGGAGAAGGAAGATGAGCCTCTTGGCGACAAAGATACTCTTCCAAAGACCATCAAGGTGTCGCTGCACCAGCAGGTGATTTACTGCGGCAAGTTCTCTTAACCCTAAGCTGTCAGCGCTCATCTCGTGAAACTCAGCTGACCATGAAACAGACGACAGCAGCTCCATGAAGCGCGAAGGTCGCTGGGCAAACCAAAAGGCACTCATCGGACGCATCGCCAAAATCACCACCAAGATTCTCCCCGACGGCGAAGGTGTTGCTTTGCGTTTCATCAACCAGGACATTGACAACTCGTCCAACCTTACTTTCGACCAAATCAGCAACATAATCCAGCCTATGAGCTGGCAGCCTAATGGTGACACGGATATTGGTACCAACCTGAAGCGCAAGATCCTTGAGCCGCTCGTGTACGCCAAGATCGCCAACAAGACCTTTGATCGACCTCTCCTTGTATCTATCAGCACTGATGGTATGCCCGAGCCGGAGAACAAGCAGGAGCTTGCCAATGCGATTGTAGAGTGTGGTAACAAGCTGGAGGCTGCTAACTTGCCCCGTGGAAGTATGACTCTCCCGACCTTGTAAGCCCTCTTTTGGTTACCCTTGCTGACCGTGTATTGCCAGGTGTGAAATTCATGATTGGGCAGGTCGGAACAGCCAGCTCTGCCGAGCAGTTCCTCAACAGTCTTCGAGACACCCAGGCCATCAAGAGTGTGACTTTCGTGACCTCAGGTAAAAGCTTGCCCCTCCTTTGGTGGTTACGACATCGACACTGACCGGTAGCAGACAAACTCGACGACAAATTCTCCGAGTTCAACGAGAACGAGGGCAAGCTCGATCGCTGGGTAAGTTTCTGCCAGTTAGACTACGGAAGTCAATCTAACACGCTCTCGTAGTTGATTGAGACTCTCTTTGCGCCTATCGCCGATGCCAACACTGGCTAATACTTAAGTTGTTACTACGGTGAGGCTCTATGGGTTTGCTGTGTCTTTTGAACCTGCAAACTGCAGCGAAGTAATTCTGTGCTTTTAGCCGAGACTTGAACGGGCTTGGATGACGGGTCTACACCTGGTGTTACTGTAGATGCGATGCGGAATATGTGACTAGTCTTGCTTTGGGTTTCATTGTTCTGAGTTTTCTCACCTTTCACGTCTCCTTTCAGTGTGATTTTTGGAACGAGACTATCACACGTTGTCGCTGCCATGAAATGAAAGTATTCGTAGTGCAATTGACAGTGGACTCGGGCCGGGCCGTCGAGCGGACAGGGCGGGTCCGATTGGGCTCACTGGCAGTTCATGGCTTGTGACGTGGATAATCCAAAGGAGGACATGGCATGGATGATCATATAGAACAAGAACAAGCTTATGTCGGCGAAAGCTCAGGGCCGACAACGGCGGACAGGAAGACCATCCATCCAAATGATGCTGCTGTTTATTTCTCTTGCCCCCTGGTAAGTCTGTCCTGAAGGAGGCATACGCCACTAGCTACCCAGCAAATTGCTAGAACGATGGCGCATGTGGGAATCCAGATGAAGCGCCGTCAGTCATGAAATGCGCATTGTCAAAGTGCTCTTCTGTCTCGAGAGTAAGGTCAGTCAGTGTAAGCGTGTTGTTGTCTGCAATGCTGAAGGCAGCTGGTGTGGGGAGGGTAAATGGTCTTTTATCGATAAGCCAGCCCCTCTCACCTCGAATTTCCATGTCAATCGGCCCACCATCCCATCCTCCTCCAAACAATCCAATGCCTCAATTGACCCAACAATAGCCATGGCGCTCCCTCTCTCCCGCTGTCGCGCCTCCTTGCGCCTCAGCACATTTACTCGTTCCTTAACCCCCCTGCGCACCCGACAATTCCTCCCCCGATGCTTCAGCCAATCCTCCATCGCCTACTCAAAAACTCAGCCCACCAAAGACGACGTTCTCAACCTCTGGGATCAGTGTACGACGACTTCAATGCCCGCTAGGTCGGTGCTAACGTGCGCCAGATAGCAATGCGGGTATACCGACTACGCCTGGTGCCAGCGGGCAGTATGCGGGGTTCATGAATAAGAGGAGAAACATGTCGTCAAAGCTCTCGTTCGCTGATCTCGTCCTACCATCTGGCGAGGTCATTCAGCTATGCGCCGACTCGACGAAATACCCCAAAGCTTCTGCACTCTTTCGAAGTATCCGCGCAACAAGTCCAGTCGTCGTTAGCACCGAAAGCGAAGCGATTACAAGCCCAGACGGCGAGAAGCAATCCTCCAAGCGAACATTTTACGTCAAAGACATCCGACCACTGAACGACGTACAGCAAAACCTCATTGTGACACCCGACGTCATATTCCCCGATACCAAGCGCCATTACCAGCTCCGCCACCATCCAGAGCTCCTAGCAAGGCTTCAATTCCGATCATGGCTCAAGGGACAATTGACAGCCGGTCTGCAAGAGAAGGGCTTCACCGACATTGAGACACCGACACTATTCAAGTCAACGCCCGAAGGCGCACGAGAATTCCTTGTACCAACCCGCCGACCCGGTTTCGCATACGCTCTTACGCAAAGTCCCCAGCAGTACAAGCAGGTCCTCATGGCGAGTGGAGTTTCGCGGTACATGCAGTGGGCGCGCTGCTATCGTGATGAGGATGCTCGTACGGATCGCCAGCCTGAGTTTACGCAGCTTGATATGGAGTGGGCGTTTGCGAATGCTGAGGTGGTGAGGAACGATGTTACGGATATTGTGCTGCGGTCGCTGGAGGCTTTACGGCCGGCGCATAGTTATAAGGACGTACGGGGGAGTCGTGTGCCTGTGGTTTCAGAGATTCCTGAAGGTTCTCGTCCTGCCGATGAACCGGTTCAGCACAAGGTCACGACTTTAACGTTCCAGGAATGCATCTCCATGTACGGAACCGACAAGCCAGACTTGCGTCTACCGGGCAGAGTACGTCGTATCGTCCCCTTGCCAATCTACCACTAACACTTCTAGATTCACGCGATACCGAACGAAATGTGCGAACAGTTCGCCAGCATGATGACATACCTCAAAGACCCCCTCATCGAAGCCTTCCACATCCCCGTCAAAGACCTCGAAGACGACATCCCAAGACCAAAGCGCTTCACCGAAGAGTTCATCGAAACACTACCGAAATACCTTCGCGAGAACAACGACGGTATGCCAGTGATACTAGTCTGCGACTCGCGACAGCCCCGCGGCGGTTTCTCTTCACTCGGTGTAGAGTGCGACGAAATCGTCAACATCGCAACTGGTGGAAAGGGTGTTCTGGAGGGTGACATCCTCGTCTTCCAAGCCCGCGAGAAGCCAAAGGGCCAATACTACCGCGCCTCCACAGCAATCGGCGAAATCCGCAACGAGTTGTACAAGAAGCTTCTCGCCAACGGCCTCGTAGAAGACCTCCCTGCACCCGGTACTCCCGACTCAATGCAATTCGTCTGGGTAATCGACTTCCCCATGTTCAAACCCACCGGCGAGGACAACGACCCAGGCCAAGAAGGCTCCGCCGGCATCGCAGCAGCACATCACCCCTTCACAGCGCCCAAATCCAAGCACGATCTCGAACTCCTCTTCACAGAACCCTTGCAGGCGAAGAGCGCAGCATACGATCTCGTCCTCAACGGCGTGGAAGTCGGCGGCGGCAGCGAGCGTATCCACATACCCGCCGTGCAGGAGTTCATCATGCGGGATATCCTCAAGATGAAGGATAGTAGGATCGAGGACTTTGCGCATCTGTTTGATGCCTTGAAGGCTGGATGTCCGCCGCATGCAGGGTTTGCGCTGGGGTTTGATCGGTTGGTTGCGCTTTTGACGGATACGACTACTGTGAGGGATGTGATTGCGTTTCCGAAGACGATGAAGGGTGATGATCCGTTTGTCAAGGCGCCGACGAGGGTTACGGCGGAGCAGCTTGCGCCGTATGGGCTGCAGCTGAGGGGTAAGCAGTGATGAACGCGGATGATGTTGTATAAAAGTGATGAAGGATAGAATCGCGACTCATTGTTTGTTTGGATACTGGGTATAGAATTGTATATTATTGAAAATGAGTATGTATCATAGAACAAATGCATTAGGTAACAGGTGGTTTGCCGAGTTGGACAAACCCATTCACAGTCATCATGTCAAGGCGATTGAAGGTTCGTATGCGTTAAATTGTTCCTAAGTAGGTCTTTGTCGCTCTCATGATTCAGCGTCAATCCATTCCCATTCCCCAGCCGAGCCATTCCCGACAACACATTCTAAATGTCGCCGTTCTCAAAGCCCAAGTGTTCCGTAACTCCGATGCAATTTGAAGTCCATGCCGCGTAAGGTATCAAGGTATCGCAAGTAAAACAAGTCAAGTCATTCAGCGTTTAAGCCATGAAGGCAAAGACAGCAGCACCAACAGCCGCCATAAACGCAACAACACCAGCCTGTCCACCGCCAACAGTAGCAGCAGCATTGTCGTTGTTCGCAGCCGCAGAGGCACTAGCACTCGCCTCATCGATAGCAGTGCGAACCTTGGAGCTGATTCCATCGAAAGCGGTGCTGGCGCGGGAGGCAATCTCGGAGCCCTTGTCGCGAGCATCAGAGGCCTGGCCTTCAGCCCAGGTCTTGGCGTCGCCGCCCTTGTCGGAGGCCCATTGCTCGGCTTCGGAGTAGTGGCTCTTGACCCAGTCGTCGACGTCTTGGCCGGCGGCGGAGGCTTTGCTCTCGGCCCAGGATTTGATGTCGTCGGGGATGATGTCGCGGGGGAGGACGGCGGGTTGGGTGATTTCGGGCTGGGGAGCTGCCTCGGCGGCGACGAGGGTTGCGGCAGCGAGGAGGGCGACTTGTGTGTAGAGCATCTTGCGTGTCGTTGTTGTGTAGGTGTAGGTGTAGGTGTAGTTAAGTGATGGGGGTGTGTTGGTAGAATTGTTGAGTGTTGAGAGAAGAGATGTAGTTGTTAGGTGAGTGATTGAGGAACGATGGGGGAGAGAAAGAAGTGCAGAACCTCTCCTTGATATAGCTCTCGGCTCCCCTGCCTCCCTCAGCTTGATTGCTTGACTTGTCTCCTGTCATTTCAGGCCCTGCATGAAGAATCATAGCGCACTGCGTCATGTCCCACCCGCACCACCCAACCACAGCCTGCTATTCAGCTCATCCCTGCGCCGATCTTAGGCTCTTCCAAGGTCTGCGCCATCTTTACATGTCATCACCAGCCGCAATTCCATCATCGACCTCTCAGGTGTAACCCTCAGCTCCACTCCAACTGTTTCACTGTGGCGATGCCATTCCGCGCTGTACCTGGGACTTAAACTTGTTTCAGTATCGTGTGCTGCTATTTTGGAATACATGTATAGAACAGGTTGGCAGCCACGCGGCAAGTGTCGTGTGCTTGGCCAAGCCTCAATTCCGCTCCACGGTCGGTGATTTTATTGGCGTTGGTGCTTATTCAGATCTTTAATCTTGAACGCGTTTTACCCGGCGTTCGCTAAGTCTATTGTAGATAAACTCAAAATTACCTACCGACCGGGGCCCGAGGCCTCCCGCGGGACCCAGTCGGTAGTTGATCATCGCAGAATTTGACTGTTTGCATTATTCATGGCGAGAATAAAGAGGCAAATATTGCGATTGCGGTCGCTTGTGGTCGGGAATTTCGGCGGATTTGCGACGCGTGTTTGCCTGACACTGCCATCGTGTTACGTCGCTCAAAGATCACACCGCCGTTGCTGCCGTAGAGTTGGGGAGGGAGGAACATCATCACAAGAGGAACAGGTAGAACTGACGCACTTTTATTGTAATTGACCTGGATCCCATAACTAAAGGATGGCGCTATAAGAGATTGCGACAATTGAACCGTCATCAGTCGCCAGCCGTTCTTCGAGCGTCATTTAAGTTTCCAACTAGAAGCCAAAATCATCATCTAACTATCCTGACGCCATCCAATATACTTCAGCAGCTGCAATACTACGCCAACCTATTTTACGCGTAAAACGGTTCCGCGTAAATTGAAACCTTGCGCTACAAAATACAAAAACCGTAGGTATCCTCCTCAATTCCTGTGCTATTCGCCGACCTTAGTTGCCAATCGCACTACCCTGAACCAATCCATTGGCGTCTGGGCTGAGCTGGAACTCGGGGTGTTTGGTCTTAACATGTCGGTTTTTGTTGTACGTTCTCGGAAATAAACGGCCGCATACCTCACAGGATATCCCACTAGTCAAGGAATTGTTTAGTAACCATGGCAATCACGAAGGATAAATAGACGAGGCAACTCACCGTCTTGGGCTCAATCTTGGTCCCAGTCCCCTGCGTCGACCTCCTCCACGTGGAGGCGTTGGAGGTCTCGTGACAGTGACTGTTGATTCACAGACTGACTGACAAAACGTCGCAAGAGCTTCGTCTTCAAGTATGACTCTCTGAGGCTTGTCAGTCCAATGGCGCTCCCGCTTTTGAGACCGTTTAACCACTTACCCGACCAACGCACAGCATGTACTTTCGCAGCTCGTCTGGGGTCTGGATGTACCCCAGCGCAACGAATCTCTCCACAATGGATAAAATCCCCGCCATACACGGATCTTGGGATGAACTACCATTCTTCAAACGTTGTACACAAGAACCAACACGATTTTTAGCCTCGGATCCTCCCTGGGTGAAGGCGATACAGGAGTACAAGTCCTTGGCTGTTACCCCACGCCCGGAGAAAACGTGGAGCAGATCCCCGCATTCTGTCAGGAAACAGATAAGGTTAGACACAATGGCTGATCTTTGTAAGTCCTCGAGAGTACTTGAAGTTCGGTGTAAGTTCTCAACGCCAATTGTAACCAACGACTCGGGTATCACATCAAGCTCCCAAACCGCACTGAAAAAGCCATTGAACAGCCATTCGTCTGGCACAGAGTCGTTACTAAGTACGAAGCTTTGGGTAGTTGCGTTTTGGTGAGTAGTCGCCCTTGGCTCAATGACTGCTGATATCTGGGAATTAATGGCATCATCGATGGGGGTCAGGGATGCTTGCGGCCAAACAACGCCAGCCAAGTTCAAGAAAACTTCACGCTCTTGGGGATTTCGTATAGCATTTTGCCAGACTTCAATGCCCCGAAAACTATAGTAATTTCGCAGACAGCATGAAGCGATGTAGGATAAACTGCAGAGCGAGAAGATGGCATCGAGTGAATCTGGCTTGACGCCTACCAGTACATTGCGAAAAGTGAAGATGGCTAGCTCATAGAAGTGTGTGCGGGAGTTGAAAGAAATGAAGAGGGCAGTGAAGCAAGGGGTAGTATGAGTGAATGCAAGTCTTGTAAGGCTCTCCCAGTAGTGGTCGAGTTGTTGGCAGAGGTTATGGACAAATGGGTCCATTGGCTCGCCTGTCTTGTTATGGTAGATAAGGCATGCGAGCAAACCATCGACCGCTGAGATGGCTTCCTTATTTGGGCTGTCTGATTCCATGGTAAAGATGGTAAAGAGAAATTGGGTGACATCTGAAGTATCTTGCAATCTCAACATATTGAGTATGCTTCTCCCATATTTATATTATAGCGAGATGTGACTTTTTTCATTCAGGACATTTTCTAAGTGAGTGGTTCGCCAACCCTGGTGGGACCTTAGCCAAAGGCGAACGAAACCTACAGCAGCTGGGTGTCGTGGTTGCATACTTGCATTGTCCGATGGCTTATAGCAAATCGCTTAGCTAGAATAACCAGGTATACTGGCTAGCTGTCACGTCACTGAGGCCCACCAGCTCCTGTCCAGTCCACTAGGGAGATTAGGAGAGGATGGGATCTAGAAAAGGGTGTGAGTGATGAGACAGATGCCTTAGAAACCGAGATGGCACACGATACCTGGTTACATCAGGTCAGGCCAATCAAATCTACAGTATCTAAGGTACTTTAATTCCCTAGTAAGATTTACTAAGATATAGGTATTAAAATTAAAAGGTTAAATATCTCTATAGCCAATACGCA